TACCACGTCAATATTTACGACAATATTTACTAAGCATTAAAACCTGGCGGTCGTTCGTAAAAGTTGAATTTTTTTGATATCAGTAAACATTAGGTCAACAAGGATTGTGCAACATTTGATAAACCTCAGTGTCCAAACCCCAGTGTATCTTCTGTATCACTGTGAAGGCCTGGCAAGGCTACGGTTCCAAGAGCCACAGGTCCAACAGCGGAAAGCTACATGCAAGGCCATGTGTCAAGGCTATGGAATATATCTAATCAAAGGATGAATGCTGGACACAGTGCTTTAGCAATCATATAGGGGGTCACAATAGACCCACTTAGGTCGCAGTGACGTTAAGGCTGGTAAGCCAACCCTTCAATTCTGTAATATGTAATCTGTACGTCTTTTACTGTGAATGTTGATAGACACATGTAAAACATGTAATCTTACTATAAATCATAATTCAACTTAAATGAGTAATTTACGTGTTGTTTCATGAGATATTCCAAATGGTAGGAGGAACATTTAAAAAACATTTTTTCATGTTTCAACATAGCCATAAATACATAAATATTTAAGAATTTTTCAATTCGAGGCACCAGCTTTTGGATCCCGTCATCAAACAGCACACAACATTGCTGCCTGACCGCTAAACCACTTAGTAACTATTTCTTTCAATATGTCATCATTTTCCAAGATCTTTCCACCAAGAAGAAGTTTTGGGAAAAGATGATGTTTGATGATTTAGTAATTCGCAACAGAACTTGTCCAGTTGCATCAGTTTTCTTGCCCCAACGTGAGGCCGCGCGTTGCCGTGATGCAGAATGAAGTCGTTACAGAACAGTCCACCACACCTCTTAGCATCTATAGCAGGATGAACTTTCTTGCGTTCAAAAACCGAATAACTGAGCGCACTTCCCAATCGGCGAGTTTACTGAGCGACAAACAGGGCAGGATAAGCAAGGAACCAACACCGACATAGACGTGAAACGTAATGGCGGGTAGTGAAGGAGAGCTAACAGTGTCTGAGGTTGAACTGACGTTACATGACATGGTGCGCGGTCACGATGCGTAATCTGTTTTTATTTTAAAAATGGCCCTCGTGCAAATTAGCCAACTTTACCTCAAATGTCTAGAAGTGGCTTCGCTTCAGATCTCGACTATAACACATCCATGAAAAAATTGTATGCTAATGATGACTTAGACTTGATACAAACCTGAAAGTATTTAAAGCTTAGTATAAATTCGATGCCCCTGGTACATTCATGGACGCTTCCAGAGAAGGATTGCGTCTCACTTGTGTCTACCCTTGACCTAAAATACACCTGCTACAGTCCTGCATAGATACGCTCTCGGAGATCTATGATCATAGGCGTGGAGGTTTATAACAATTCTATTTCTGTAAGCTTCTACTACATAACGCAAAATTTTTGAGGTCTCCTATTTGATGAACATTAACTCAGTAGCAAAAAAGAAGGGATGTTGCATATGTAACAAATCCACGAATTTAAGTTTTCTTCAATCAAAAGTCTTGTCTGCCGAGACGGTTCCTAATTATATTTGATCATCGATTAACGTATTCTGCCTGGAGATAGTGAACCTAATACTGTATTTCGACATCCAAAAGAATATCCGAGATGAAATGAGATAGTAGCGTCGTCTATAAGAAGCTGTTACAGCTATGTTTCTCCTACCCGCAGTAATTGGAAATCTACTTTGGAAAGGTTATTGCATCATAGTAGTAGATAAATATATGTTATATACCACAGCGTGGTATATAACATATATAAGTGGATTTCTAATTATTACTGAGAGGAGAAACATCTCCGATAGCACGAAATATTCATTAAATATTTATTCAATATTTAATAATATTTTTATCTTACTTAAATATTTGTTATCTTAAACAAATATTTAATAAATATTTGGAATATAATATTTTTATTAAATATTTATTCAATATCTTTTCAATATTTTAAGTACAATATTTATTTTATAATATTCATTAAATATTTCCTTTTCAATCAATGGAAAATATCACCATTGTTTAGAAAATATTCACTGAATATTTTTGGCTAAGGCGCATGTGCATGCGACCCCAAGCGACCAACGGCATAATGGTAAGCCGACCTGAGCCGACCCATTTGCCGGCATCCATTTTACCTGTGAGTTTCACTATGATAGCGTGCTTCCTGTGTACACCAAGTGGTACATTATTTGAGTGATTTCTTTGCGGTAAAGAGAAAAAGGTAAGTTTTTCGATAATTACATACCTAGCTTAATTTATCTGACTTATAAACATTATTGTGCCAGTTGAGTATAAAGATATTTGCAAGACCATATATAGCTAGCCTTGAAGTGTAACAATTGCGATTTGGGATTGGTGGATATTTTCATCTCGATATCTAAAATAACATACCAAGTTTTCTTAAAAAATAACCAAATATCTAACTCTCATAGTAAGAAAATGTGGGGTCCTTTAAGGTGCATTATATAGCTGCTTTTTAGTGACCCAGTTGAGCTACTCGGAGTAACTCAGCAGTGCTCAGCACCAATATTGTTCCACTGCATTCTATGTATATTCCCATAAATACCCTTTCTAGAGTAGTTTGGGAGAATATCTTTGTCAAACAAAAGACTACTGGAAAGCAGCTTATGTATACAATAATACTTCATAATTAGTAAGTTTTTTTTTCAGAGGAAAGGATTTGCAACATGCAGAAGAGGCTTAGAATATATTTTTAATGATATTTTTCTAGCAAACGATATTATATTATACCTAGAATGAATTTTCTTTATAAACCCAATGTTATGAAAGCATTCCTATAGATTTTGCTAAAATAACCAATAAAGGATCTTCTACATACGATATATGTATCAGATTAATGCTTGAAAATCCATACATATTTACGAAAAATATTAGATATTCCATCCAAATATAAAATTGATATTTAAAAATCTTTCCTCAAGTATACTAACTGACATATAAATCCGAACACCCAGTTTAAATGGTTTTATTTTAATAAAATTTTGTATAAGTACTTAATGAAGCATAATAAGTAAATGATAAAAATTTCAAAATGATTGCACTGCTTTAAAGCCCTTTGACCTTTAATAATGTGTGGATGCACCCTGATGTGCTACGCATTCTCCAAAGCGCCTAGGCATGCTTCTGATCAGGTGGTCAATGTCCTCCTGTGGTATCTCATTCCAGGCAACCACCAACTCCTCTCGAAGTGCTTCTAGAGTCTGAGGAGGACGTTGCAAATTGAGCAATCTCCTACCCAACATATCCCACACGTGCTCAATTGGGGATAAGTCGGGAGATCTTGGTGGCCATTTTAACAATGTGACATCATTATGTTGAAAGAAGTCTATTGTGACTCTTGCAACATGTGGTCGGGCATTATCTTGTTGGAAAGTTGGATCTGCCAGGGTGTCAAGATAGGGTAAAAGATGGGGTTCTAGAACTTCGTGGATATACCTCTGATGAAGATTAAAGTTGACCTGGAACCATAAGCTATAGCACCCCAAACCATAACTTCAACAGTGTGATGAACATGTCTTTCAACAAAAAACTGTGGATTCCTACTTTCACCACGTCGCCTTCTAACCCTTACACCGACGTAATCGCCTTGAGTGGTGCAGACAACGGTCACTCTGGGATCAGTATTGCCTTTAGTGACGAGTCTCGATTTTGTTTAGGCATGCACGATGGTCGTGCCAGGGTTAGAAGGCGACGTGGTGAAAGGAGGAATCCACAGTTTTTTGTTGAAAGACATGTTCATCACACTGTTGGAGTTATGGTTTGGGGTGCTATAGCATATGGTTCCAGGTCACCTTTAATCTTCATCAGAGGTAACATGAACGCGCAGCGTTATATCCACGAAGTTCTAGAACCCCATCTTTTACCCTATCTTGACACCCTGGCAGATCCAACTTTCCAACAAGATAATGCCCGACCACATGTTGCCACTTCTTTCAACATAATGATGTCACATTGTTACCATGGTCACCAAGATCTCCCGACTTATCCCCAATTGAGCACGTGTGGGAGATGATGGGTAGGAGATTGCTCAATTTGCAACGTCCTCCTCAGACTCTAGAAGCACTTCGAGAGGAGTTGGTGGTTGCCTGGAATGAGGTACCACAGGAGGACATTGACCACCTGATCAGAAGCATGCCTAGGCGCGTTGGAGAATGCGTAGCACATCAGGGTGCATCCACACATTATTAAAGGTCAAAGGGCTTTAAAACAGTGCAATCATTTTGAAATTTTTATCATTTACTTATTATGCTTCATTAAGTACTTATACAAAGTTTTATTAAAATAAAACCATTTAAACTGGGTGTTCGGATTTATATGTCACTTAGTATATTTGGAAAAAAATATCGCAAAAATTATATATACTACAAATATCTATAACGAATATTTTATGAATATATAAGAAATATATCCATTAAATATTGAAAAATCTACCACTATAAATGTTTAACAAAAATTGTTTGAAAATATTTAATTCTGTTGAAAAATTTGGGAGTGAACGTAAGGGAATATGCTTGAATGGGGTACCATCAGATGAAGGGTTTGATTTGATAGTTGCTCGACGTTCTGCGCAGTGCACATATTGAAGTTGAACAACAAAAACTGTAGGTCCATCTAACAGCCGGAATATCAAGTATTCACAGAGCAGCCCAACAATGGCTTTCTATACATATAGGTATGCATAAATAGAGTCATTAGCAACTCAGCAGAGGGGTATAGGTCTATGTAGATGTCTTGCATGAGTACGAAACAGCGCTGTCTGCGGTTGGTTGTACTTACGGAGACTGAAAGGAAACTTGGAAAACGTAGAAGAACTCGTTTCCCTGGAAGTGTTCGGCCTACAAACCAACAAGCTTTCAAGTCTTCTGTAATAACATCCCTGTCTCAAATAAAAGGCCACATAATGCCCTACTTTCATTGTTGTTCTTTCACAGTCAAAACGCATAAAAGTATCATTATTGAAAAGTTTGTAAAAACGCAGTGTTTTCTTGCTGTTTTCGCTAGTACTTTTGAGACATAGCCTCCAGCCACGATCGTCAAGTTGATATTCGCGATGCTTATATAACATATAGCAACACCACACCATGCAATGAAAGTGAAAGGTACGTCTATGACTACAATTTTCTATCATCAAGTTCATTACATGGCCATCTGAATTTGTTCGTGGTTATTCAATCGAGGCAGACAGTGATTAGTATACTTCTCTTTGTCAGTTTCATTCTCTACTTTATCAACTAAATATTGTTACAGATATTCAGTGATTTACTAGTATAAACAGCTCTGATAAGGCGCAGTATAGGCTATAATAATTGTGCAACGATGCATACCTGAGTGCCAGTTGTATTTTTGTGTGAGAAAAAAATGGGTGTTGGCGTACCTGAGATCAAGAAATTGGATGAACTGATCAGAGACGTGGTAGGCAGTGATAAAAAAATTAAAGATGTCGAGGTTTCTAGATTAACTGGCCCTGGTGAGAACTATGGAAGTTGCATGTTGAAGGTAGACATTACTCTGGAAAGGAAGTCGGATGGCTATGTTGAACTACTACACACTGTTGCCAAACTTATTCCAGAACTGGTAAGTCGATGCAATGGAAAAAGTTTTGGTTAGCAAAGCTCCTTCATGCCTTCTTGTTATGAGAATGCCGTATTTGCCTTGTCAAAAACCGTTTCAAGCATCGATTATTTCATTATACAAGGAAACAGGGATGTCTCAGGCCAAACAGGGCCGGATTCTTCTTTAAGTACAACTGTTAAGGTCAAGATGAATAAGAACTTCTCAAAAAAAAGCCTCAAATGAGGGAATAAATATGCAAGAAGATGGTCTTAAGGCTGGAATGTGTTTTCAGGAGTTTTTCAGAAAAGTGTTTAAAATCCATATTACAGTGAAGGCGGAAATAGCCTTCTATGACGTGATCGTACCAACCTTGCAAGACTTCCAAAGAGAACATGGTATCACAAACGTCATTGACTGTTTTCCTAAGCTATATGCCGCAAGACTGAACTTGAAGGCAGACCTAGATGATGTTGACGAGGATTCAGTATTACTTTTTGAAAACTTGGCTACTAAAGGTGGGTAGATAGCTAAGAATCTCGTAAAAAATAGGAGTTAGAAATCTTGGAAACTGTTTTGTTATTTTTCTTTCTAAATAACTTTAAAGGTTGCACCCATACGGCTTTACAATATCTAAGGAGCGTAATCGTACGTAAACGTGATTTTTGGGTCACTCATAAGTGTTTGGTCATTTTGTTGTGACCTAAATGCATGACACCTGTGCGCATAAAATCGCCAAAGAAAACGAAGATATATTTCATGTTTCGACTTATTCCGTTATTTTTTGAGAAGTCAAATGAGACTTTTGAACCTTAGCAATTTCTGATACCAGTTTGGATTGTTAAACTTAGACGTTGCGTTATTCCTTATAAAAAATGAGAAAGTTGAAGTGCATTGTCCTCCTGCAAGACATATTTACCTTTATTCGCAAAAGATATGTTCTATATATGTGTCTTCCAGTTTTGGTATATCAATTATATATATATATATATATATATATATATATATATATAAATTGATATTCTCAAACCCCATAGGGCCAAATGCTGAAATTTACTGTGGAACGCCACAGTCAGAGGAACATAAAGGTTCATATTGCCTCCTACATCAAAATTTACACAAAAACATAACACATAATAAAAGATGTATTTTTCAAATACTAGGAACGTAAATCCTGCTAAATAAATTGATGAGTAATACACATCAATCTGTGGCAGAGACCCATGTTCTATATATATATATATATATATATAGGTGAAAAATTAAAGCTTCCGCCTTTTGTTGGGTACTTCGACAAAAAACTGTTCATCAATAATGGTTATCCGAAGTGTCTGATTAACAAGATCTTATTTAGTTCACCTTCCAATATTTTGCCGAACTCTGGTGATGCAGGTAATAGTCACACAACCCCTAATAATAACGAAACTGATGTAATTCCCGATAATAGCATCAATCCAAACAGTACAAGCACCAACCCAGACTCCAGACCTGGTTTTGCTGTCCTGCCCTATATCAAGGAACTGACCCCTAAGCTGATCAGATTGTGCAGTCCTTTGAACTTTCGAATTGCTTGCAAATCCGTCCTCACTATAAACCGCATTTTTTCAAAAATGAAAGACAAAGTCCCGCTGCTTAGCTTAACTAACACAGTCTACTCCATCAATTGCAACAACTGCAACCAAATATACATAGGTCAGACCTCCAGATCTCTTAAAGGAAGGATTACATCACACAAAAGTGATGCTAGGCTTCATCCTGAAAGATGCGCTCTAGCATCTCATGTTAACACAACAGGGCATTCTATGAATTACACAAGTATCAATGTTCTTGATAAAAAAAAACACCTTTCCAAACGTTTATTCCTGGAAATGTCCCACATTTTCATGAATAACAACTGTATCAACAAAAAGACAGATATTAAACAACTGAGTGTCATTTACTCATATTTGCTAAACTGCGAAAAATTAGAGAACTTACATATCTCCCCAAATTTCGACTTTTCACAACCATAAATATAATCTGTGTTTTGGCCGATTCCACCAACAAATTTCTTTCCACTCAAAATCTAATAATTCTGTTCTCACGATTTATTAATAATTGTTAATTTAAAATTCCCATTAATTAAAATATAGTTTATTCAACTGCCTCTGGTCGGTTTAACAATTTCTTACATAACATTCTGGAAATCACATCATCTGAAATGATTTGGCAACGTTTTGGCACACGCCCACAATTCGTTCCATCTTTCAACACAGACATTGACAACCTTCGGCCTTCTGTCAAAGGTTCATCTCACTCATTATTCCATGACCACCATTTTGTGCAATCATCAAGTTGCTTCACGACGTAATGCTCTAATGTTTTCTAAATAATTTTTAATCTGTCATTAACTTGTCTTGTCATATCTTATATAATTTTAACCATTGTACCATGTATCCAGCTCTCACCATGTTACTGGACGTTTCCCTCATCCTATACGAAAACAACAATTAGCAACATCCTCACATACTACTGTAAGTTGATTCAATTTAAATTCATTTTACACTTTTGTTGCTACTGTTATCATTGTAATTGCAGCTCCTGATGATGATGGCAAAGTCCATTGAAAGCTAGAGAGAATTAAAAAAAGTATAAAGAGTCCTCTTTGCTTAAATTTTGTCGAAGTACCCAACAAAAGGCGGAAGCTTTAATTTTTCACCTAACTGGTTTAGACGACAATGACCACGTCTCAAGTTATATATATACATATATATATATATATATATATATATAGCTGAAAAATAAAGCTTCCGCCTTTAGTTGGGTACTTCGACAAAATTCAAGCAATGAGGACTCTTCATACTTTATTAGTCTCTAGCTTTCAATGAACTTTGCCATCATCATCAGGAGCTGCAATAACATTAAGAAGAAGTAGCAACTATTGTGCAAAATGACTTTAAATTACTTACAATAGTATGTGAGATTGTTGCTAAATGTTATTAAAGGTTAAGTTGAGGTAAACATTTAGTAACCTGGTGAAAGCTGGATATATGGTACATTCGTTAAAATTAGTATAAAATACACAACAGATTGAAAATATTTGGAACGAAAGCTAAAATTTTTATATGTTACATCGTGAAACAACCTGATGCTGCACAAAATGGTGTGGCACAGGATCATAAGTAGGATGAAACATTTGACAGATGAAAGAAGGCTGGTGGTGTCAGTGTCGATGGATGGAAAAATGTGCGCTATGTTGACAAATCACTTTATTTTTCACTTAACTGGTCTAGACGACAATGACTACGTCTCAAGTTATATATAATATATATACTAAGTGACATATAAATCCGAACACCCAGTTTAAATGGTTTTATTTTAATAAAATTTTGTATACGTACTTAATGAAGCAGAATAAGTAAATGATAAAAATTTCAAAATGATTGCACTGCTTTAAAGCCCTTTGACCTTTAATAATGTGTGGATGCACCCTAATGTGCTACGCATTCTCTAACGCGCCTAGGCATGCTTCTGATCAGGTGGTCAATGTCCTCCTGTGGTATCTCATTCCACGCAAACACCAACTCCTCTCGAAGTGCTTCTAGAGTCTGAGGAGGACGTTGCAAATTGAGCAATCTCCTACCCATCATATCCCACACGTGCTCAATTGGGGATAAGTCGGGAGATCTTGGTGGCCATGGTAACAATGTGACATCATTATGTTGAAAGAAGTCTATTGTGACTCGTGCAACATGTGGTCGGGCATTATCTTGTTGGAAAGTTGGATCTGCCAGGGTGTCAAGATAGGGTAAAAGATGGGGTTCTAGAACTTCGTGGATATAACGCTGCGCGTTCATGTTACCTCCGATGAAGATTAAAGGTGACTTGGAACCATAAGCTATAGCACACCAAACCATAACTCCAACAGTGTTATGAACATGTTTTTCAACAAAAAACTGTGGATTCCTCCTTTCACCACGTCGCCTTCTAACCCTGGCACGACCATCGTGCATGCCTAAACAAAATCGAGACTTATATATATATATATATATATAACAGAAAATGATCGTGAGGAAAAAGGTATATAACAAAAAGTAGGAAAATATTGTTCAAAATCCGCAAAAAGGAGGAAAGTGGATTCGAGCAGAAAATAGGATAGATAACCCACCCGAGCGATACGAATTTCTGCCAGCTGGCTTCATCAGGCCCGAAATGAATGCACATATGCAACTACAAAAGTAGATACACATGCCCACACATCCGGATACGGGTGTAACCTGAGGAAACGAAGATGGAGAGGAAAGAAACAACACACGAAGTCCACAACAAGAGCCAACCTACATATTAGAACAATTTTCCCCCTGAAGGGAAGAAAATTGATATTTCGGGTCTTGCCATAGGCCTGACCGTTGAGATTACGTTCCCTATCTACAGCTCCGGAGTCAGTATGTGTGCGTCTCTAGTCCCCCTTACCTTCGTCCTCCTCCCCTTTCTGTACGCCCATGCTCCTTGGAGCGATGCGCGCGCTGGCTAGTGGCGAGCGATTCCCCGCTCGCCCTTCAGTACTCTTGCGCCGGCAAGGCGTTACCTAGGTCAGGCCTATGGCAAGACCCGAAATATCAATTTTCTTCCCTTCAGGGGGAAAATTGTTCTATTTCGGCTCTGTGCCTACGGCCTGACCGTTGAGAAGTGTTTACAATCTGCCGGCGTGCCACGGCGTTAGAAAGCGTACTATGACATGGTTATAGTATGAAGACAAAAAAAAAAAAAAAAAAAAAAAAAAAAAAAAAAAAAAAAAGGTACACTAAACCATACTGAACTTTCTATATTTTCCCTCCAGAAAATATCAACAATACAAGGACATAAACAGAATATGATAACTCTAGCAGTTCATAAAAAGAAAAGTAACAGTCATGCTTGGCTCACAGCCATGATAATACTTATATAGGGACAAATTTATCCGAAATAAGTCTTCTGTTGCTGTTGTCAGGTACCAAATCCTTATCGATATTTTTATAGTAGTGTTTGAAGAAATTGCTTGATCCCTGCCAATTTCCTTTCTGCAAAACCTCATCCAATGGCATGTTATCATTGAAGCGGGATGTTGCCACTGCCGAGCGGGTACTGCCGGCTCCTCCTTCTATACCTGCCGATTTCAACGCTGTGCGGACCCATCCTGCTATCACTGACCGAGATGCCGGTCCTATCTTCCCACGAGTTGTGACGAATAGTTGAGGAATCGGTCGACAGTGGAGGTTCCTTCTCTTTTCTGATATTTCTAGATATATGGTTGTCCAGTGTACTAGATCCCAGATGCATTCTCGATTTTTGAGGAGTTTCCAGCCTGACTGGACGTAGTTATGCTTGTCTGTCTTAGATCCATGTTGTGGCCAGAAAATTATGTATTCTTCGGTTTGTTCAAAGAAACCAGAATCTATTCGAAGGAGTGTCAAGTCATGGACTCTCCTTCCCGATGATAGCAGCAAAAGCAGCGATAGATGCCGGGCCACTTGAAAGATACTATTCGTATCTGGATGGTTATCATTAATCCAAGATAGAAGTTTATCGATGTTCCAAATCTTTGGCCTAGTTGCTGGAGGATTTGCATTTGCAATACCTCTAATTACCTGTTTCACTGTTGGGCTACTGGAAACTCCTTCACTATGTAGTGGATTGGAGAATGTCGCAATGGTGGATTTATGTAATAGGATCGTTCTAAGCGCCAATTTTCTTGTGTTGTGTAGGAAGCAGAGGTATTGAGCCACCTGCGTGGGGTTTGGATTTTTAACTGAAACTCTTCTTTTCTTCGCCCACGATTGCCAACTTTTCCATGCAACGGCATACGTTTTGAGAGTTGACTTGCGCCAGGATGTTTCTAAGATTCTCCTTTCATCCTTTGACCAGTGATTCGCTATATCGGACCACCCCGTATCTTCCATGTCTCCAGGTGTAAATCCATTACCTTTGGAGGAGGCTGGTTGGTTTGAAGATCTTCCAGGTGAGCCTTCAGATTCCGAATGGTGAACGGGTGGTCGATGGCACGTCTCTTCAGCAGGGGCCGCCAGAACACCCTTTCCCACCTGGGGACTATCATTATGAAAACTCCCTGACAATAGTTGAGGTGTTGGAGAACTCTTGGTATTAGGGGTGGAGGAGGGAATATCCACGCTAGCTTGTACTCCCACGTTCTTGTAAATGCGTTGACGAATTCTGCCTCCTTGCATGGGAATTGCGTTACAAATCTTGTAACGACGGCTGATTCTGGAGTCGCAAATAGGTCGATGCAAGGGGTTCCCCACTTTTCGAAGATCCTCTTCTGAGCTATCCTTGATAAGTGCCAGTCTGGCAGATCCTTTCCTCTGGATAGGTGGTCGGTCACAATATTGTAGTTTCCTGGAATATGTTCTATTCTCAGAGACATACTGTATTGATGTGCCAGCTCCAGGATCTTCCTGGTCAATGCCAAAAGCGTGACCGACTTGGTTCCTCCTTGATTTCTCAAGTAGGAAACCACCGTCCTGTTGTCCGTCTGAATTAACAGTGTTTTGTTTGCCAATCGATCTAGGTGGTTTCTTAGCGCTAAGTAGATCACGAACATTTCTTTTTTGTTGATATGCCACTTTTCCTGCTGCTCTGTCCAGTTTCCTTTCCTCAAAGTGTCTCCTACTTGGGCTCCCCAGCCCGTGTTTGAGGCATCGGTTATTATATGAACTTCCGGTTCTTTCATGCAGATTATGGATGACCCTTTTAAGTTTTTCTCCCACCATCTTAGCTCTCGCAATACGTCCAGGTCTATATTGAACAGTTTCTTTGGTTGGTTTTCTGACATCCGATTGACTGCTCTTTGTATCTTTCTGCAATGTAGTCGACCCAATGGGATAACAAACGAGGCAAATTCCATTCTCCCTAGCAGTGCCTTTACCTGCTTCCAGCTCCAAGTCTTGCTCTTGATTCCAGCTTGGATTGATGTTTGCAGACGGTGGATTTTGTCCTCCGGTAAACTCTTTTGATTTCTTATGGTGTTCCACATAATACCTAGATATGCCAATTTCTGTGTAGGTCTTATTTCGGACTTCTCCAGGTTGATGCAGAAACCCAGCTTTATGAGAGTATTTATCAGGGTGGATACCTCTCGCTTTAGTTCTTCTGGATTCTGGTTTGCGATCAAAAAATCGTCCAAATAGACCATTACTCGAATGTTTTGTTTTCTCAAGTAGCTCGCCACCCAGTTCGTAACTTTTGCAAACACCTGTGGAGCGGAGCTTAGGCCAAATGGTAGTGCTGTCATAGCGTAGATGTTTTGCCGGTAATAAAGTCCCAGATAACGCCAATGCTTTTGCTTTATTGGCAAATGGAAATATGCTTGAGAAAGGTCGACTTTTACCATATAATCTCTTTCCTGGAGAAATAATGGCAGTTTGCGATGGTTCATAAGGCGGAACTTCTTGGGCGTGATGAAGCTGTTCAATCTTTTTAGATTGAACACTGGTCTCCACAAGCCCCCCGATTTCGGCGTCAAAAACATCTTTGATAAGAAACCTGTTTTTGTTTGCAGTTTTACTACCACCTTTTGATTTATGAGGTTTTGTATTTCTCGATCCATTTGTGTGGATGCTGGTGTCTCGAATTTGTTTAGTATCGGTTGGGATAGTACTGTTATTGGTGGCTTTATTGAGAAAGGGATCACGTAGCCTTTCAGGATACTGAGAATCGATTGTGAGGCTCCCATACTTTTCCAAGCAGAGACATATTTGGCGAGTTGTCCTGCCTGAAAACTGTCAAAAACTCCGCCTTTTATCTAAAGGTGGTTGCTCCTTACGAGCTAGCTTGGTATGACTTTTCGCCCCCGGCTTACGCGAATGCTTAAACTCTGCCTTCTTCATTTTTTTAAATGAACCTTGACGCAGATACTTTTCATGAGAAGTTCCTTGAGGCACCTTCTGTCTCAGTGCGACTTTTCCCAAATTACTCTGCCAGCGGACAGGAGCAATTTTCGTCACTCCATGCATTTTAACCACATCTTTCAGCTGCTCTTCATCCCACAAGTGCGTACCTGACGGAGGAATCTCATTGACGATGGACCTATAGTAACTACTTTTAGGCTCGTATAGTTTCCTGCGACTTTCGATGATTTCCGCCCTTTTTCCGCAAACGAACTGCAGCAGGTCGTCCGAGATGGTCTTGTATTCACTGTTAGCAGCAAAAACTTTTTTCAAAGTGTCTGCCGCTTCCGGGTGTTTGTTCCCCGCCTCCTTCAGAGCCTCATGTATGATTCTCCGTTGCTTCAGTAGACCGTGTGAGATAGTCCCGAAGGCCAGGTCACTTTTGGATAACATATCTGTCATTGGGCTTGCATGTCCATTGTTGTACAAGGATGAGTTAACCTTCAGAGTACTGAAGACTGGTGATGCGTGGAGTTTTTTCTGAGCGTCCACGTAACGAATCTTGTTCCATGTCTCTTCCCCGAAACGCTGGCATTTCATGCCCTGTGTCTCGATTACTGGGTCCGCCCTAGGGACTGTAGGCTCGATTTCCCTAGTGACAGGGGAAAACGTGTCCCAGTCGTTTACGCTGCCACATGTGCCAATACTGTCGGCGTCATACAGCTCTTCACCTGTAGGAGTTGGAGCTTGCCACGTCGAATTCATGACGCTGCCATCGTTCTCTTTATTTCCTGAGACCAAGTGGTAAAGATTCTCGACCATGCTTTCCACGCGGCGTAGCCTTGTCTCATTGACATCCTCCTCCGAGCTCGAAGACAATACTCGCCGCCTCCTCTTCATTGGTTTCTCGGTTCTGACCGGGTACTCGTCGTCTGAGCTGGACGATTGACACCGTCTCCTTTTACTTCGGGACGTATAATTAGACTCCGTTGAAAGGGCCTCCGACGTCAGCTCTCTGGAACGCATAGTATGTTTAAGTGGTTCCACCGCCTTATTAAAGAGCTCCGCTTGAGCCATAGATCCTCGTAACTGACACGCTACCTGCCGTGGGCTCATGATCAATGCTCTACAGAGGTTCCAGTCGAGAAGCCTCAATTTTATATTTCGGTAGGTTTTCTCTCCCACCGATGTTGCTTCTGGGTAGAATGCTTTCACCAGTTCCAATGTGGGGAGGGCGAAGCGAATTTTGTTCAATACTTTGTGGTCTATCTTTTTCCCAAATAGATCTTCTTTCTTCCAGTCAATCACCTTTCAGTCTCTCCAGCCGTCTGGCAGATGGTTCTCTATTAAGACCTTGATTCTGGAAAATATCGCTTCATCTTCTTCCTCCATTTCAACGTGGCTGGACCAGAGTTCACCCAGAGTAACAAAATTGGTTGCCATCGCCATCTGGAAGCAGATGTGCTATAATTAGTTAGTCGGTCGGGCCAAAAATGCAGCCGGTCGGGCCGAAATCTGCAGCCGTTCGGGCCAAATTCTGCAGCCGGTCGGGCCAAAATTTGCAGCCGGTCGGACCGAACGTAGCGGCCGGTCGGGCCAAAATTCGCAGCCGGTCGGGCCGAATTTAGCGGCCGGTCGGGCCGAAGTCTGCAGCCGGTCGGGCCGAAGTCTGCAGCCGGTCGGGCCGAAGTCTGCAGCTGGTCGGGCCGACTTGACGGGCCGGTCGGGCCGAAACATTGTGTAGATGGATCCGGCTGCAGGACTCCCTTCAATTTTCCTATGAATGGGCATTGTGCGCTTGCACACAAGTGCCCATATTATGCTCTAGCGAATTTGCCCAAGATGCATTAGAAGGGAGTCTCACGTCTGGACCGAGTGATCCGAGACCGTGACAATTTTATATCAAATGGTAGCCATCTACACTAAATTGTCAAACTAAGGTTTTTGTCTCTTACCTTTGCATTTATACTATTATTCTCTCGAACGTTACACAACGTTTAACTCGCGATGTTACACATACGCACACGCACACACCCTATCCGTGCGATAAATAAAAGCGTACTGAAGGGCGAGCGGGGAATCGCTCGCCACTAGCCAGCGCGCGCATCGCTCCAAGGAGCATGGGCGTACAGAAAGGGGAGGAGGACGAAGGTAAGGGGGACTAGAGACGCACACATACTGACTCCGGAGCTGTAGATAGGGAACGTAATCTCAACGGTCAGGCCGTAGGCACAGAGCCGAAATGTAGTATAAAATGGCTAGAAGACCTCGAATTTTCAAGGAGACATCTAACATCAACTACGCGGCCGGTTATAACCACTTGCTGAGGTAGTTCAAGCCCTAAGGATATATATACCACGAAGGCCTAAGGCCTAAACACCCATGGGGTACCGTGGGGCTATAGGGGGATACAGGGGAAAAGCGGAACGCCACGCGGACTCTGGCGAAGGAACAAGTGTGCATGCAACATGCACACATTCTGGTCCCGCCTACGAGATCCGCCGGGTGGTACCTCTACGTTCGACAGTCAGAAACCGTCTACCGCCTACGGACAATAGCAACATCCATAGCCAAGAGAAAATTTTCTCTTGGGACGGGATTCGAAGCCGCACAGCACCGAAGAGTCTACTACTGCGGCCACCGCTGCTGCCTATGCCCAAGTCTTTGAAATTCAGTAATATTTGTTTGATTTTAAAACTTGAGTTATTGTATATGTATGGCGCTACATCTATGTATCTTTTTTCAGGGTTCAAAAATATCAATAGATTGGAAGGCTTCGACTTGGATGGCGCAAAGCTGGTTCTCAAAGACCTGGCAAGCCTTCATGCCGTTCCTTTAGCCCTCAGACTCCAGAAGCCTAACATATTTGAAGAAAAAGTGAAAGCGTATTTCCACATTCACGAACCAAGCCCACCTCCGAACGACCCTGACAGTCCAAAACCGGAAGATGTTTTCTTGGAAATTTGCAAGGATTTCGGAGAATGTGCACCATATATATCGGAAGTAGAAAAGATATTGACGCATTTCAAGGAAAATCCAGGGTACTTGTGGAAAAGCAAGCCACCTAGTGAGACCTGGGCCACACTGTCGCATGGTGATATGTGGGTGAACAATACCATGCAACGATTCGACGAAGGCAAGATTGTGGAAAATAAATTTGTAGATTTCCAGGTAAATGCATGCGAGTTCATTTCCTACCCCACTAGCAGGGAAGTATTGTAATATCGAGAAATTTAGAAAATGAGATATTGTTTTTTTGTATATGCATTTCCGTCGGTCTGTCCATCTGGACCCGCCATAACCCGGAAAGCACCGGTCGGATTTTGATGACATCTGACCGATATCTGAAACATAGGGATGAGTGGCTATCAAGGAGCGAGGATAGTCATAGCAACGGTGCCAGATGGTCGTACTGTCTAGGGCTAGAGAGATTCCAACGTTGTCAAATGTATGGGGACTACGAACTTCTTGAATTGTCCTGCTTGACTGACTTGATCCCGTTTATTTTTGTTTTTTTATCCATATTCGTAGCTAACTTTTTGTAAATTGTATTTTCCAGATGTACAAGTCTGACACACCAGTAAAAGACTTGCAATTTTTCCTGTGGACCAGCTGTCGATTAGAAGTATTGCAGACTCATCTAGAGGATCTTTTGAAACATTATCACGGTTGTTTTGTCAAGATTCTAGAAGAATTGGGTTGTAACATAAGGCCCTACAGCTACGAAAGGTTCACCTGTGAAGCGGAAAAATTCGCAGCCATTACAGCTTTCCGAGCGATGTTTTTTAGCATGTTTGTTGTGCAAGCTAAGAAGAAGGAAACTGCTGATATAGAAAGTATGACATCTTTACGTATCAAGAAAGAAGACGTCAATCCTTTGCTGATGAAGAAAATTGCTTGTGCGATAAGTTATTACGGGAAAAAGGATTTATTAAAGATCCAATGTCAGTGAGAACGTTGTAACTAAAATGCATTTAGGTTCTAAACACACGCTGCTTCTTGACTAATTCTTTGTTAATTTAGAATGGGAGAAGTAACTCAAAGACAGACATTCTAGGGGCATTTAATTGTAGGTATACTAAAAAATGTTACCGGCAAGGTGCAGCTATACATTTTGGACAAAAAGATAAACATCATCGGACAGGTAGTGGACTCTGTTATAAGGTGATCTGAGCCCTGCCAATGGTGCAAATATTTCGCTGTCATCATTTGTCAGATCCTCGAAGACTAGAGATAGGAGGCTAAACTCACAGAGTGAAGGTTATGCTAATAGTGTCGACGACAAAGTAAGTACACTGAGCAGAAAATGAATGTTAGATTCTGCGCATGTGGCATCTCTCTCACATGTACACTGCGCAGAAAATTAATTTTAAACTCGGTGCATGTGGCATCTCTCACTGTCGCATGACTGTAAACCACGGAGCAGACGCTCTGCGACATATTCTACACGCCATAGATTTCCGAGAGCGAAGCCCTCCTTGGCGAAAAGATTTACTTCATACGAACACGTGCATCCCTTACGCGGTTTCACGTCTTATCTCTATTCTTCGTAGTCAGATCGAAAGAGAATTTTCAGCTTTAACTTTAAATTGTTCTTAACCTCAAATCGATTAATTGTGTGTCATTTCCAATGATATCCATTTATTTTTACACTGCACGTATCAAGCACAGACATGCTGGACCGACATCCGCCAGATGGCGCTTTGTATGAATGGAGAGAATACTATTATCACTGAATTAAGCAAAAATTTAAGCGACGCTAACGTATGTTTCGTACCATCAATCAGGATCATTACTGTGATTTACTTTGGATTAACTTGTGAATCGTGGCCGTTACGTTATTAAATATAATATTGCAGTACAATTTGAATATCCGACCATGTAAACGGCCATGGTTTCCCTGACAATCAGTCTCTCCTACTACTGCAAATATTTGCATTAAAATAATATAAGGAAGCTATCGAGTATTTTATTTTTCATGAAACACCTTTCACCTATACCAATTTAAATGGCTGCACAATAACATCGAGCTGGACCGACGCACAAACGATTCGAGCAGGCAGTCACACCATTCAGTACTATGCATGTTAAGGACCGCCTAATGTAGTTTTATCATCTATAAAAATCAAAGGGTGTAGTGATGTAGAGATTGTGGAAGAATCTACAAGGGGAAGCTTTTCCCAGTTCAAAAATCGGATTAACTACATTTCTTTTAATTCCTCATATCAGCCGCAGTGTCCTGGCATTTAGGTTTCTGCATGCGTGGCTGCTTATGCGTAAAAATGGTTTAAATGTCCCCAGCTCTTTAGGTAGAAGTCTTGCACAAATTATAGCAGCAAAAACTATAGTTATTCGTTATCCTCTATCAGAGTGACTCGTAGAACCTTTGAAAGTTCCGAGTTCTGACTGGTCTGAGAGTTCAGATTCTAGTTTTATGGATGTTAGTTAATTGGAGATGGAAAGTGATCAAATTCAAGTTATTCGGATTCACAATATATTTTTATGTTGTTATCTTTGTTAATACAAGTGGAGTCGACGCTAAATTTTATGATAAGATAAAATCATATACATATAAACAATTACTCTGATTGTCTGTTACCCATTGTTAATTTTGCTGGTGTCCCTGAGATGAGTGACACAATACCTGAGATAAAAAAAATAGACGAACTAGTCGAGCATGTTATAGAAAGTGATAAAAAAGTTAAAGATGTGGAGGTTTCAAGATTAACAAGTCCTGGTGAAAACTATGGTAGTTGCATGTTGAAGGTGGACATTACTTTGGAAAGGAAGTCAGATAGTTCTACTGAGCTACTGCACACTGTTGCCAAATTGATTCCAGAAGTGGTAAGCCGATATATGAAAATATTCCGAATATTCGGGTGGATATCGCAAAAGCAGCTTGAACTACATAGGAAGCATATTTTGCTCAATATTTCCAAAAATTTAATCTAAGAGGCTGTTCTCACCGAAAGCAACTTTCACACACCAAAAAAACGGCAACGCAGCCAGTTGTACTGCTCAAAATTTACAGTACCCAACACCATTTGGTATAGTTTCCCTGCCTCTACTGCTCCAATCTCCCTTGACTCTAATTTTGGTTTCCCATATATTCACAAAGGTGGTTCTGTTCCCCTCCCGCCTTGTGTACAGTTGAAGCCTCGAACATAGAATCTATTTTGTGCAGGTGCTCTTTCTGATTGTTGTGTCCCTGGAGATAAATTATTCCCCATGCCTGCATTCATTCACTAAGTGCCAATATTCCTTGTGCTAGTGTCTAAGCCGTTATTAAATTGGTTCTTTATTATGTTTTTTGACACTCCTAAATCGGGTCCTGGGCCTGTATATTATGTTGATGGTCCATGGTAAAATTCTGTATCTTGATGCGACTCTTGAAAGAGCGATACAACCAAATTCCCCAAAATTAAGTTTGATCAACGAAGTTAGGCTATACAAGTCGGTTATCAGCAGTGGCGAAGCTACCTTGGGTGGCACCCGGTGCGGAAGTTGGTGGTGCCACCCCATCGAAAGCCAAAAGCAATAAATTTTATATGATTTATAAACGTCATAGGTCATATTTATATTTAGAATATTGAACAAATGACAAAACACAATAAAAACTAAGGCAGAAATAATATCTTTTTTCTAGCTTTTATAGCTGCAAACTCAGAAATAACTTTATCAAAATTGATCTTTTTATAATTTGTATATTGTTGCCCGCAAATAGTTTTTTATCAATTTTAGTTTACTGAAACTCCTTTCACATGAAGCTACCGACACGCAAACATAAACAATTTTAGTGCAATCATAAGATTTGGAAGAGATTCTGTAAAATCCCATTCAACAATAAACTTTAAAAAATTTAGAGATACACAATCAGAAGGCAGCAGCGGTGGCCGCAGTAGTAGACTCTTCGGTCTCCTGATCAGTCGCCGTGCGCTGTGCGGGTTCGAGTCCCGTCCCAGGAGAAATTTTTCTCTTGGCTATGGATGTTGTGATTGTCCGTAGGTGGTAGATGGACTCTGACTGTCGAACGCGGAGGTACCACCCGGCGGTTCTCGTAGGCGGAGCCAGAATGTGTGCATGTTGCATGTACACGTGTTCCCTCGCCAGAGTCCGTGTGGCGTCCCCCCCTTTCCCATGTATCCCCTATAGCCCCACGGTACCCAATGGGTGCTTAGGCCTTAGGCCTTCGTGGTAGTTGGAGTATAAAAAAAAAGAAATTGTAACATTAGCAGCTTTTAAGTGTCTTCGCAGTCTTGGTATCTCCAAAAGTAATTCTGTTTCTGAGACCTCATTATAAAAATCAATTTAGATGCAGCTAATTTCTGTTCTTCAGTATTCGCCAAAAGCAAAGTATTTCTTTGTACGATCTCGAGCGATGAAGCGAAGTCTTGAAGATACTTCGATCTTGTCTGGAGTTCAACTCTGAATCGGTTAAGACATTCCAGCATATCTTTTTGAAGTTCGTCTTTCAGTGTGAGTCCTGCATCACTGGCGATCTCACCAACCACCCGTTTTTTACGTTGGAATATCGTAGTCTTCTGATTTTTTTCTAGCAATATCTAGTGCCTCGTCCACAATGTGACCCCGTTTTTCTTCGATATAAAGATGAAGTACCTCTACTATTGTTGCAGTTTCGTCAACAGATAAGCTTTTACTTTGCAATGGAATCTCTGCATTTTTTTATATTTGTACATTGTTCTTATAGTTGAGTCACCGGGTGGGGGTCACCCCAAAAAAGGTGACACCCGGTGCGGCCCGCCCCCGCCCCCCTTGCTACGCCACTGGTTATCAGATCAGCGAAGACCTACGCATGTTCAGTGTTTTGAGCAGCCGGTAGGTTTCGCAGAACTGAACCCTGCATACAGTCACTAACGCCCCATGGTATGTCTTCAATGAGCCCTTTCACTGCGATCTCGGGATTCCTTCCCTAATCGCAGCTACGTTATAGTCAAGTGGAATCGCATAGCAACCCCTTGTTGTGTGAGTGAGTAGACTGCACAGTCGAGCTATCAGTGTGAACACAACTAAATCGTGCGACTTTAGGTCCAAACAAGAGTATAGTTTTTCTACAACAACCAATCTCTAAATCAAATTTAGGATCAATTTAAAATTCCCGAATACTAATTGACAATGCCAAGCCACCTTCCCCTCACGCACTTAAAAAAAACTTTGCTCTCCTCCTTGCTCTCCTCCTTGCTTTCTCTTTTCTTTCTTTCTTTCGCCATGACTTTGTTTAGTATCTGGGCCATCAGACCTGACAGACCAACTGACTTTAACAGCAAAAGTCCTATGGACAATGTAGTAGAGATCGCTTTATTCAGATGGCGCTTAAAGCAGTGTACAAAGTCATGTATCATACTACTTGCCCTGATGGGAACGCAAAAGTATAATAAGGGTTACTTAGGTTGCTTTCATCCAGGATCACATACTCAAGGTCGAGGTCACATAATTTATCGAGATTAGTAATGTTTATGGATGATTTAAAATCTCACAGTAGGTTTTCATCGAGAAACGTAGTTTGCTTAGCTCAACAGAGACTGTCTAGCTCTTTCGTTCGTAGGATAAGGATTTTTTTTTCAGGAATTCCTCCGTGAGGCTTTTCAAGTTCAGAAGACGGTGAAGACTGAAATTGCCTTTTACGATAAAGTTGTACCAAGCCTGCAAGACTTTCAAAGGGAATATGGCATTGCAAACGTTATCGACTGTTTTCCCAAACTATATGCTTCTAGACTAAACCTGAAGGAAGACTCAGATGAAGTGGATGAGGATGCAGTATTACTTTTTGAAAATTTGTCAGTTAAAGGTAATTAATTTTAAAAAATGTAACCCCAAATTCTTCACACATCTTATGAAAAATGAATACTCTGCAGAAAAGCATATAAGGGGTTCTTAAATTCTGTATGTCACCGCAGAGACTCAAGAATTTACACTTTTTCAATTGTGCTACCTATATAGGTTTCAGAACGCAATGTTTCCACTATTACAATCTGCCGCACAGTAGTCTAGGTCTAGAACACCGAACAGCTGCTAAAAAAATTTATATGGTATTTGTTCAATTTTCAGCACAAAACGTGAATTTTTGGGTTGCTGATTTCGAATCTGACGTAAATTTGCCGCTATGAGGCCATTTGAAGGTCTTTTCAAGGTCATAACAAATGGCACTTTCAAAACAAGCCGAGCAGTTGAGCCCAATCGCGTCCCGCTTAAGTTTTTCTTTGAAACCCACACAGGTATTACGTATCATTAAGTCGATTTTTTTTGACAATATATTGATTTTTTGTGAAATTATGTAGGCTTTGCTACAAGATGACAACTTAGCACTAGCTGATGGACACGTTGTGTTTTTGTAGTTATACGTGTTGCCCAAACATCATTAGGATTCAGTTATCAATGTTTGGCATTTCTGGAGGTAACGGCAATGCATAGTGAGGATTTGCGTGCTAATAATATGTGTTGATGGATTCTTGTCTCAAATACACTTACTTGAGATTCAAAGCTATAAATTAGTTGCGCATCCAGTTTTTCTTATCCATTGTGATGAAAAATAATTATATTCACTGTACTCTGTCGAATTACATATATACATGGTAACAGTAATTACACACAACGCGGGCGCGATGGTGAAAGTTTTTGAAAACAAAAACAAATGTAATAAATCGTAATTTATAACTCTGAATATAACATGACTTTAGAAAGGACAGCATATAAATAACCCGTCGAGCTCAGCTAATAGATTTACTTCATTGGCAGCATACTCGATAATGATTTTCTCACACAGCAAATACCACTGTTTTTATACACATGCAGACCAATACACACAATCATCCAGTTGCGATCTTGCTATTCCACCAACTTTCTTGTCAGAGATGAAAGCTATATACTACTCGGCTTCACAAAACATATGGAACCAACAATGCGTCATTCCTCCATAGATGGACGCTCACAACGGTCCTAATGAGCAAACGTGGAATGACTGTTTGCTGTTAACTACCTAGTCTGTAAGATGACATTTTATATGTTTTTTTAAAACGTTTTATAGGTTTTTTACATAATACCCGTGCCGATATGTGTAGACAGAAATGAAGGAGGCGTGTATTGAAAATTAAAGAGCGGAGGTGGCAGTGTGACCCTACCCGTGTACTCATACGCTATAGCCTAAATGAGATTTAAACAATAAATCTAATTTAAAAGGTCTTTATATTTAAATAAAATTAATTCTTCTTTTCTGTCTTCTTGCAAATCGATGTATGACTTCGCCCGCTGTCGGTACACTAACTGGTAATGTAGCAAGGATACATAAGAACTTTTTGATGTTAAGATACATTTCGGCATCGGAATTTGCAATAAGAGTAGGTATCGATTTTAAAACAAGCGAGGATATGTGAAAATTATTTAATAAAAAGCTATTTCCAACGACGTCTCCTTCAGAGACCTGTTTCTCCAGAATCAAGTGGTGCTCTGTGTTTGTCTGCCAAAAAGTATTTTTGTCAAATTTGATCATAGCGTTAAAGGCACACCGGAAGAGTTTTATACTCCTGTCCAAATGTATGAATTTTGAATTAATTTTAATTAATAATCCACCAGCGGACATGTAGCATGTAGTGCTACCAAGCCGAAAAACTTACGCAACCCTCGCGCCATCATCGATGCGTTTACAAATTGTTTCACCAAATCTGGTGTATCCATAACATATTTGAGAGTATGTATTTTATTATATTTAACGAAGGGATTCAAAAGATATAAATAGTAGTAGTCAAAGTAGATTCGCCCAGGAGGGATCATGACTCACATGATACCTCCCCCCCTACTGGATCCGCGATGGATTCTTTGTTTGAGTTAAGCTTTCGAAAATATAGTTTCTTCTTCAGGACACACTACAAAAAGTATTGAATGCCAGTTCAAACCATTATAATATCAATGAAAAAACTAGTTACAACGTTACAAGTCCTGAAGAGGTCTCGTCGATTTCAAACATCATCATATTTTTGAACATTGCCATCAAAAACTGTTAGTGTCGAGCAGCCTCATTTGGCATGAGAAATTGGGATTTTTACCACATCCCGTGGGCCTTAATGAAGCAGTCACATCAAATTCGTAATTTATAGACCAGATTTACTAAAAAAAATTCGATATTTTTTAGACGAACTATTATTTTGTCCTAACTATGAAATATAGCTGGTGTTTCGTGCTAAAGAACTCATAAAACCAGTCCAACTTAATATTTTAAGACACTGCAACACGGGCGTAGCCAGCACTACCACCTGGGGACAGTATCAAAAGAAAAATGCCGCAAATTGTAAAATGAAGAGCAAAAAAAGATCTTCAGGTCCTCCTATTTGGAAAATGCGACACTTCCAACGGAGCGGGAGGCGGTGGGGGTAGTAGCGCATACTACTTGTTGATTTTTGGGATTTTGTTAATTTTTCAAATTGTCTCTGATTTTCTCTGATCTTTGCTGTGGCAACTTTTGTTGATGACCCCATTACTTCAACCCGCTTTTTTAACAAAAACTTAAAATATTTCATGAAAAAGGTCGAAACAGTTGAACTGACTGCTATCATAATCAGAAAAACAGGAAAATAGATGTTTTTTATTTTTTAATTATCTAATGAAGTTAGTTTATTGATGCCAAGTCACCCAGCTGACGAAACTATTATCCATTTCATTCGTTGATCCTAACTCATAAGAAGACATTGAGAATTATCAGACGATGAACTGTTTTAGTTTTAAATCAAAAGCGTTCCCTGTCCCTGTCCTGGCCTTCCAATAAATATTAGAAAATGGTTTAAGTGTTTTAAAAATTCTGAAAATGAACCCTTCTTTCCAAAAAGTTCCTCTAAAGTTCCTCCACGGTCCAAAGAGTCACCTCTGGTGCAAGAACAAAGAACTGGAAAACACCTGACAGCAAGCGGACTCCTTCACCTCGACTTTATCGTCGGGCATAGTTCAAATCTGATGAAATAGGTAGCACCATCCGCCGCATAATTTTCACTTGCGCTATATTTCACACTGTAGGCTGGAATGAAATAACTTTTAATTTTAATCAAGAAGTTATATAAACTATTATTAAGAATTCAGAATTTACTAACAATACCCTAAATAAAAATCCACTCTCCAATAAACAATTGCTTTTTGTTACTAGCTTCAGCCGTGGGTCTGGAGGACTGCTTAATCCCTCTACTACCCCCCTCCCCCCCCTTGGCTAGGCGCAGGCACCGCAATCATAAATTTGTCCTTGCAATGGCAATCAAATTCATTCTGTATCCACTTTTAGGCTTCAAAAACATCAACCGAATCGAGGGTTTCGACTTGGAGGGAGCGAAGATCGTCCTCAAAGACCTGGCAGGTCTTCATGCTGTTCCTTTAGCTCTCAGACTCCAGAAGCCTCACGTTTACGAAGAAAATGTCAAAAAGTTCTTCCACGCTCGAGAGCTACCTCAACCTCCAAAAAATGAACCTGACGGTCCCAAACCTGAAGACACTTTCTTGGAAATCTGCAAGGATTCGGAAGAATGTGCACCATATATGACGGAAGTAGACAAAATATTGACGTATTTTAAGGAACATCCGCAGGCGTTGCATAAAACCATTCCACCGAACAAGATATGGGCCACTTTATCACATGGTGACATGTGGGTCAATAACACTATGCAACGATTTGAGGAAGGCAAGATTCTGGAAAACAAATTTGTGGATTTTCAGGTAGTCATTTTCTTCAAGGGTATTTTGAGTAAAAATAGTAGGCGAGAGGAAAAGATCCGGTACTGCGCCTAGATTTATGGACAAAATTAACAACTTAAGGAAAAGGGATATTCTGTAAGAATAGCAAATTGCATTTGAAATATTGCTTACATCCACTTTACTTCCTAAAAATTAAAGATTGTTTTCAGGATGTAATAGGACATCACGAAACATTATGTCACTTATTTCCTACAACTTGGAAAGTAAACAGACTTTATCAGCCTGTGTTTATTTTATGCAAAGTTGGTAGCATTTAGTGCTCCTCTGACTTAGGAGATGCCTATGTGGTGGGCGACGTTTGTCAGTTCCATCAAAGGACATTGTCATTCATGAATTTGAGGAAACGTCATGTAGTTTCGTCCTAGCGGCATGGGGATCGGTAATACCGCAAACTACCCATAGGTGGCAATGTCACCTTTCTACGCACTACAATACTGAGTTGTTCTGTGGACTCATATTTGTTTGCTTTCCGTCGTCTGTCCTAATGACTAGACCTCTACCATACTGATGACTGCTAAAAAGTACGAAACAACGTTGTGTACGGTTGGTTACAGAGGCGGAAACGGATCATATTCAGCTTGTAAAACATCATTACATTATAGCATTGTAGGGCAATTTTTGTCACCTCGCTGATAAACAATAGTGAAAATAATGATACTATGCTTCTAGGAGACATAATATTGATATTTAGACAGGAAAAAATGTTTCCAAAATATTGCATTACTAGCTTTCGGTATTTGGGGAGGTGTTTTGTTCAATACATTTTGTACATTGATTGTTCTTGTATTAAGTTGTTATTCTGTGCAATATGCACTCACATTATATAAACAAACTTCTAGAGTCGATGTACCTCAGAAGAATCTTGGACCAAAGTCTAGAAGTACGTGAAATTTTATTTGGGCATCCAAAGATGTACATGGAATCCCGATCAATATTCTGAATTCGCTTGATCCTCATATTGTATTGTATATTTACTATAATTTCCAGCTGTATACGTCAGACACACCAGTCAAAGACCTACTGTTTTTCCTATGGAGCAGCTGTCAATTAGGAGTACTACAAGGACACTTGGAGGACCTTTTAAAGTACTATCATGCAAGTTTTATAAAAATCCTAGAAGAACTGGGATGCAACGTTACGCCCTACAGTTACGAAAAGTTCATCCTTGAAGCAGAGCAAGTAGCAGTCCGGACGACATTCAGAGCATTGTTTTTCTCGATGTTTGTCGTACAAGCCAAGAAAAGAGAAGGGGACATAGGGCACAGGCCGGAATTGAATGTTAAAAAAGAAGACGTTAATCCTTTGTTGCAGAAGAAGATAGCTTATGCTATAAGTTATTATGGAAAAAAGAATCTATTAAAAGTTGATCTTTAATAAAAAGAAATACAAAAAACCTAGGTCCGACAGACATAATTAATGTTACTCCTGAAACGTGCCGTGTAGTTTTCATGTTCATAGGGCTCCATTGTCTGGCCAGACGATGGGGTCATATCACTTTATCAGCACCCATTATTACATGCTCCGGCAGTGAAACCTGACGGTTATTGAAATGCGATAAATCAATGAAATTTCAAGATATTTTTAGATATATACGTAGTCATGCCATAAGTTCTGTCCCTCGTTTTCAAACAAGTGTAGACCTGTTAATACTTGTCCGATTGTTTACATTGTGGTGTCAGTTGATTAAGCGCTTTTCGGGTAATTACATATACCTCAGTTTGTATTGATCTCTCGAAGCATAACGATGGAGTGGGGCAAGGCAGAGAACCGTATTGCAGTGATAGCTTTACATAAGTGTAATCACAGTGCTAGTCAGATTTTTGAACTCTTACGCGGCCTTCAAATATCGCGTAAATTTGTGTCTAGGACCATTCAGCGGTACAATGAGACGTCCTCTGTTGATGACAGGCCAAGAAGCGGAAGACCTCGTCAAGTAAGGACTCCAGCAGCCATCAAAGCCGTAAAAGCCAGGATTCAAAGGAATCCACTCCGGAAGCAGAAGATCCTATCCAGGGAAATGAAGATTCCTGTCCGGACGATGTCGCGCATCATTAAACAAGACCTAGGGCTAGGGGCTTACCGGAGACGTACGGGCCAGCGACTTACGGCCACCTTGCGACACATCAGGGCGACAAGATCCAAGAAGCTCTTGGAGAGGTACGCAGCTGGGGGATTCCGAAAGATTTTGTTCACGGATGAGAAAATCTTCACCATAGAAGAAAAATTCAACCGACAAAATGACAAAGTGTATGCAAGGAGTTCACAGGAAGCTTCGGAGATCATTCCGAGAGTTGAGAGAGGCCACCACCCTGCGTCAGTCATGGTTTGGTGGGGGGTGTCCTACGAAGGGGTCACTCAGCTCCATTTCTGTAAACAGGGCGTGAAAACAAAAGCGGCAAACTATCAGAGCGACATACTGGATCCTATCGTCAAGCCTTTAAGTGGTACATTGTTTGCCAACCAACACTGGGTCTACCAGCAGGATTCCGCCCCCGCTCACAAGGCTAAGAGTACGCAGCGCTGGCTGGAAAGCAATGTGCCAGAGTTCATTGCTGCGGAAGATTGGCCCTCAGGGAGTCCGGACCTCAATCCTTTAGACTACAAGTTGTGGGACCTGCTAGAGCAGTTGGCCTGCTCCAAAGCCCACCGTAATATCGAGTCCCTGAAAGCGGATTTGATCCGATCAGCGGCAGCTATTCCTTTGGAAGCTGTGCGTGCAGTGATAGATGAGTGGCCCGCGAGATTGAAGCAGTGTGTGAAGGCCAAGGGGGGACATTTTGAATAAAACTGTTTGATTATGAATTCTAAAAATGTTGTCGAATAAATAATATCTTTCATATAAATATATCTTATCTTGTTTCATTTTTATCATGAGATTATCATGGGACAGAACTTATGGCACGACTACGTATTTTTATATAATAGAGCAAGAGTGGAAAATAGAAATGCGCACCAAAAACTAGAGAAAAACCATTATATTGAAAAAATAACGTCACTCAAAGGACGACCCCCATTTTCCACGCACTACTCAAGTCTGTTGGTGAAGCTCTCCATCACTCTCTCCAAAGTGTGTTGAGGGATCCCATGAATTTTTCTCCGGATGTTCTCTCGCAGTTGTTCCAAATTTCGCACGGGAACAAATCGGGAGAGCGTGCAGGCGATGGAATGTCACCACGGAGAGAGATTTGGCGGGAAAAGGCAGCAGCTCCATTGTCAAACGTGACGTGTGGCCAGTAGCCCCATCGCGTTGAAACCAAACCCTCGTAAGAGGAATGGCATGTCTACGTAATTGAGGGATAAAAAAATCCTGGATCATCATCATAACCTCGCTCCGAAGTCACAGAAGAGGCCGTTTTCCTCAACAAAGAAAAGACTGACTGCTGTCCATACAGTTACCCTTTGGGGGTGGAGTGACCTTTGTTGGAGCTCTCACGAGGGTTTTTTTTTGTTTATTTACACAACCATTGAGGTGGAAATGTGCTTCATCTGCGGTGAAAACAATCATTCCGGGATCTTCATTCATCCTCTGCAACATGGTCTTTGCGAAATCTGGCTCCAATAACTCTTGAACGATAGCAATTCTATAAGGACGGAAACGCAAGTCTTCGTGAAGAATTTGGCGAACAGTCTGGTCAGACATTCTCAGAACATGAGCGTGACGAATCGCGACGAACCCATAAAAGAATCGTATTCCTTGGTCGAATACGCCCGCGGCGAGGAGCATAAAAAGGCCTCTACGGCGAACGCAAGGTGCTGGGCGGCCCAACCTGCCATTGTTACTAACGTTCCACATCACGCGAACGAAATGAGGCGAAACGCTCCCCTCTCCAACCACCCGTCAAATCCCTACCTCCTTTCAAAAGCCATCAGGTTTCACTGCCGGACCCTACATGAGATCGGTTACAAACAAGGTCGTCTTACAACAAGACCCATAAAGCGCTCAGGGCGCTCAGGTCTTGACGCCCCAGGGCAGAGTAAAATCCTGGGTACTACTTTGGAAATGAGAAAAAATTGAGAAGCGGGCGGCAGAATTTTTTTGGAAATGTCGTTCAAGTCTCGAGGCTCCTTATCAAGCCTACCCAAAGGATACAACTGCATTTTGTGGAAGTTCCCCATAGTAGGCGAGTCAAAGGGGCTAAATGGGAATTAACTCGGGCGTCGTAGGGACCTCTGGGTTTTGAAGATTAGATCGCAAAAAAGAAAAAAGATTATATGATGGATATCCTTTTAGGGGTGGAGAAAGATTCTACAGATTGCCAAATATAGTAAGTAGAAGTGAAAAAATAGTTAGAAATACTCGAGCGCGACAGATATTGATATTGTACAAAGGGTACTATAAAAGTTTTGCAATATGACTTAACAAACGGACGTAGGAAGCTGCATGTTACTGCATCTTGAGACATGTTCATGAGTGCCTAGTAGCCGCCAGCAGCATGCCTGCTGATTTAGTTGTCAATCCGTATTGATAGTGTAAAAAGCGAACTATGGAATCATGGTCACGTAGTGAGATAAGGGCAGCTTTAGAGTATAACTTTACGTGTGGTTTAAGCATAGACCAGTGCTCAGAAGAAATGACGCTTGCATTAAAGAATGATTGTCCTCGCCGTACGACTATATTCCGGTGGTACAGAGAATTCCAAAGGGGCAATTTCACTCTGGAGGACGCTGAGAGGGACGGTACGTCGCGAACATCAGTTACAGAGGAAAACATTACTGCTGTGAGGAAAATGCTTGAGGAAGACCGGAGAGTGACATGCCAACAGATAGAGATGACCCTACACCTTCATGCACCAGCAATTCATTCAATTCTACATGACTATTTACACGTGAGGAAACTGTTATCTCTGGGTACCGCATACTCTGACGGAAGAGCAGAAGACTCGTCGTACGACTTGGTGCCGAAAGATGCTGAAAATGTTTGATAAGAGGCAATCTCGGTATGTGAACAGCATCGTGACAGGTGTCGAGACTTGGCTCTATTATTACGGTGAGTCGACCAACGCTCAAAACAAAGTTTGGGTCTTTTATGATGAGCACACACCTAGCTGTCAGAAAATCCCGATCTGTTAAGAATAAGATGATAGCTGTATTTTTCAAATCGAGCGTGATTGCATGTCGCTTTGGACACACAGAAGACAGTCAGAGCTAACTGGTACACGGAACAATGCCTGCCTAAAGTCATACTCTATGAAAAACCTGCGGCCAAAGTCAAGAATGGACGCTTGGTACTTCCACCATGACAACGGTCTAGCTCACCGCACCAAAGCCTGCACCGAGTATTTGACCACTACTGGACTCAAACTTATTGATCACCCTCCTTACAGTCCAGATCATGCTACCTGCGACTTTGCACTCTTACCGCATGTGAAAATGCAGCTAAAAGGAAAACGATTTTCCAGCGATGAGGACCTTCTGAGGGCTTGTGACAACGGGTGTACCGCACTACCGGGTGAAACTTGGGAGTTTAAGGACTGGTTTTGGCGGATGGAGAAGAATATTGAATTTGGTGGAAATTACTTTAAACAAAGTCAATAAATAAAGATGTATTGTAAAACTGTTATAGTATTATTATTGTATCGTAATAATTGAATTATTTTTCTCTAGTCATGGCATTAATACCGATGAGAATGTTACCTGCAATTGAAGAGCGCGGGGAGAGGCGGTGTGTACTGAAAGCCGCGCTTCTGGAACAAGTACTATAGCGATTTAAAAAATAACAGAAGAGGGTGGTGTTTCCAGCTCCTACGACACACTGACGAGATTTGAAAATATCTATATCTTTAGGACGGTTCACTTACTGAGAAAAGGTTCAATATGATGAAAAAATGAGGATTTCATGAAAAAAAATTAGTAATGATATACATAATGAGGCCATAGACCTCCTACCATGCATATATCTCTGTAAACTGAGCCTGGAAAAAGCAAGGCTAAGGTGTACAATGACCGCTCTTAACATTGGACTTCGATAAGCAAAAAAAATACCATTACAAATTAAGCTGAGAATTTCTGGAATGATATATTTAGAACAATATGGCCATTTCCTTTATGCAACTTCATTAAGCCGTCTGCTCACTCAAAAACTCTATAAAACAGTGATATGCTTGATCTCAAAAAAGCTTCCTGTATCAAGAAGTATTCCTCCATGAGCAAACATTATAAGGTAAGAAATAAAATTCACTACTATCAACCAATTATATTTTTTGGAATCTTTTGAATAAAACACAACTAAAATAATATTAACATATGTGGACAATAAGCGTCATCCAAAACGAACGAGTCTTTAGAACAGTGTTCATCATTGTTCATTCAATTTAACTAAGCTCCAGATGGAAGATAAGTCTCATGAAAAAACTAAAACAAATGTGGGTCTGTCTGTGGGTCTGTTTAACTCCAAATAGAAGCAGCCTGTAGCGAAAATAAAATATATTATTTACTACTTAACAATTCGGAAAACCTAAGATGTTGGTTGAGGTTCTTCTTTCCCTTTCTCTTTATTCCACTCTTTCAGTCCCTCTGGAAGCGATGTATCTTCCTCAAAGGAACCAGTACCTTCGACAAACTCTTCATAAGTGGATTTCTCTGGGAAAGGTCTTTTTCCTAGTAGTTCTATCATATCATCTCTGAAAAAGTAAGTGAGTAATAGCGAATAAGGAAACAATTTATTGGTGATAGACCAAAGTCAATCCATGATAAACTGGTTCAATTGATTGATGAACATATTCCCTACACATACCCAATTAGTCTCAGCTGATATGCATTTCCCAAACCTTTCTGAAATGTTCTCCAAGAACCGTCAAAAATAGTCACGGTTACAGCATATTTTTGCCGGACTTATTTGCCTCATTTGGAGGATTTTTTAATTTTTTATGTCAAAGCAGCCTCGCAAACAGAAGCCTAAATGAGAACTGGGAAATCAATCAATCAATCAATAACCTTTATTTCCATACAGACAATGTATAATTGTATTGGAATTGTCAATTTTTCGTTCGCTACAAATCTACAACTAATCTCAAATTGCAATGTTCAAAAATTCATCAACACGATAAAAGCACTTGTTTATCAAAAATTGCTTCAACTGGAACTTGAAGTCGTTAATATTTTTAACCCAGGTAATGTGGCATGGTAAATTATTAAAAAGAAGCGGGCCAATTTTATTAGGTGATCGAAATGCCGCTTTTGATTTGCTGAAGTTTACATATAAATTATTACAAGTCCTTGTATCATAATTATGCATATCACAATTCCGCTTGAATTTTTCATTATTTTTAAAAACATGTAAGCACAATTCATATATACAACGAAGGGACAGTTAAAATGTTGAAACTTATAAAATATTTTTTGCAACTTTCTGTTGGTGAGATGCCTGCTAATGATCGGATGCATCTTTTTTGAGACACAAATACATCTTTAGAGCGCGTTGACCAACCCCAGAAACATACTCCATATCTTAATCTCGAATCCACATTAGCAAAATAAACTTGTATCAATTGTTCAGCTGTTAAGATGGTTTTTAATTGCCTCAACACATAGCTTTGAGAGTACATTTTTGATGTGAGAAATTCGCAGTGGGCCTTCCAATTTAAGTTCGAATCAAAATGAACTCCAAGAAATTTCACTTCTCCTCTAAAATCGAGTTGATCGTCACCCAATCTAACTTGAAACCCTTCTACAGTTTTTTGAGCATGATGAAAACGAATAAGCGGTGTTTTGTAAGGATTCAAGTAAAGTGAGTACTGGTTAAACCATGTATTGATATTCCTAATTAAGTTGTTACATTTATCTTCCAAAATTATATTTAAATTACTTGATATTATGGCAGAAACGTCATCAGCATATGCTGTAAAATGGGTATCTAGATTAACATTATCAAACTGATTAATGTATAAGAGGAAAAAGATTGGTCCAAGAATAGAGCCCTGAGGGACTCCAATCGAGATGTCTAACGTACTTGACACAAAGTTTTTCATATTGTTCCCTGCATCAAGATATTCTACTGAAACATATTGTTTTCTTTGGACTAAAAACGATCTGGCCCATTTAAGAGACTGATCGACAAAACCATATTTAACAACAATCTCCAAGAATTTGTTGTGATCTGGGAAAAGCTTCCTCTTGTAGATTGTTCCACAATCTCGACACCCTCGCGACAAAGGAGCGGTCGTATCGGCCAGATCTGGATGTACGAAGTTCGACACGGTTAGGATGGGAGTCCAAAGTCAGGCGGGTCTGTCTGGCCAGCACATCGCGCGGCGGCATCATGGAAGAGAGCTCTGAGGAGCAAAGCCCGTTGGTGTACCTGTAGAAGAGAGCTAGCTCGCTGACGGCCCGCCGGTGCGAAAGGGTTCCGAGACTGACTGTTAGAGAAGAGTCGTCGTTCAGTTGGACAGCCCTCTTTTGGACAGCATCGAGCATAAATAATGTAGTCGAGGCGGCAGCACCCCAAACCTGTCTGAAATTATCGAGGCTATGCCTTATCTGGACCTTGTATAGAGTGAGAACGTCATGCGGAGAAAAGTATTTCTTACTTGGATTGGGTTGATCGTACAGGAAAGGAGGTCGTTGATATGTGACGGGGACAGTGTCGGATCCAAGACCGATCCGTGGGGAACACCCGCGTTGACGTTGTGGGATGAAAAGGATAACCCATCAATTACGACGGATATCTTTCGGCCAGAGAGAAAGTCAGACACCCAGCTGCAAAGCTTTTCTGGGAGGCCATACGATGGAAGTTTGTATAAGAGCGCAGCGTGCCACAGATGATCGATCGCTTTCGTGATATCAAGAGCAAGGTAGAGAAGAAGTATCTGAGCCCCTTCCAGTCGGCATGTCCATAATGCCCAATTTAGCGGCCTGGACGCGTTTATGACCGAAACCTATCCTCCACAGCACCGTGGTCTCAGTTGCCCAGGGGGGACAGGGCAGCAGAGCTGTAGTAAATATCAAACTCCTTTCTCCAGTAGGTGTTTGTACCTTATGGTATTTGCATAGCTTATTATTTATATATACAAGATGTTACTAAGCTTTTGCATAAAAAATAGGAAAATATAGGATTTAATTTCAGTGTTGGTGATGGCCACGATATGAAAGAATTTTGTTTTGGAGAAAGAAATGCAGTATTAAAATAATGCAATAGTTACTTTGGCAATTAACATTTTTTATCCAACATTTTAATGCAACAATAAATTGATATCAATGTTTCACATTTTGACATCGAAAAAAGTAAGGAGTTGACTTGAAAACGTATCTGGTCTTGAAATGACCCTGAATGTCAGGTTCATTGGCAAGGATATACTTGAACTTAAAATTCTCTACAACTTGCATTTCAGAAATTAAAAATAGATGTCTTTCGTTAAAAAATCATTTGATCTTCAAATTACCTTGATGATCATAGTGAATGTCATGGACATATCGGGTTTTCCAATATGGACTTGACAACTTTGAACTTTCACTGTGAACACACCTTTAAATCAATTACCAAACTGTCAATGCCAAAACATTCAGTAAAGACAACATTTCATCATGGTGAAGTATACGAACGAACAACGCTTACAAATAATTTAAATTTTCTACCGAAATTCCGAGTCGGGGACTGCAACTTTAAGAGCGTTAACGCCAATTTTTGGTCGTAATTCTCGTCCCAGTGGACAAGCAATTCACAGTCTAGTTAAAAAATTTGAATCCACATGTTCGATGCTATTCGATCATATGAACCGACGTACGTTCTCGAATTGGCCTCTAGAAATGTTGCAAGAAAATGACCAATTTCATCACAAAATTATATTCAGTGATGAGGCGCATTTTTGACTAAACGGCTTCGTCAACAAACAGAATATGCGTTATTCATAAGGTGAAAACCCTCATGTGCTTCAAGAAACATTACTTCATCCACAAAAAATAACTGTATGGTGTTCATACCGGTGGTGTCATTGGGTCTTTTTTTTCGTTGATGAAAATGACCGTCATGTTACAGTCAACGGAGATTGCTACAGAGACATAATGCAACGTTATTTTTTTGGTCAATTGGGTGGGCTAGATATTAATGATATGTGGTTTCAACAAGAAGGTGCTACAAGCCACACAAGCGGGGACACTAAAATGTCTCACCTCCAGCCTGTCACAAACGAGTTCAATTTCAGCTCAAACATAAGAGCTTTCGGTCATTCTTTGCAATTTTTTCACAGAATCATATTTTGAAGAAGTTATTTCCTACCTGCTTATGATCTCCTGTTTGAGTAACCTTTCGGCAATTTTAGCGACTTCCTCTTTCTTTTCAGTCAGCAGAACCTGAGTACGTTTGTACGCGCTTGTGATTAAGTCCCTAACTTCAATGTCGATGAGTTGTGCTGTACTTTCAGAGTAGGGTTTTTCCAGCATCATGTCTCCCTCACGGGGCATGTCAAAACTGACATTTCCAACTTTCTCGTTCATTCCGTAGTGGACAACCTAAAAAAATCAAAACGTTCTATCAACAACTAAATTGGTTAAATGTGGCAAGACCATTGTTTAACGCATTCTCAAAGTTTCTCGACAATATTCTGTATTGAGGAATTCACCCACGAGTTCCATGGCTATGATAGCCATGTTGCCAATTAGGATCATTATAGTTAGTTAAAAGTTAAAAGACGACTCCGTTTTGCGTTATTTTTACAAATGACAACAACCTTCCACGGAAAGATCACCTCATAACCCTCCTAATTACTTCTAAGATTCCGTAATCTCAGAATTTCTCAACGTCGGAAAAGGAAATCACATAACCTTCGATAACAATCCAAGTGGCAACGTTAGCACCTAAAGACGGTGGTAGACACGTATATTGGTTGTAAGCATAAGTTATCTCATTCTCGCGCAGGCACATTTTTGAAATTTGTCGGGTATATTTTGATGGAATACGTTAATCAATGGTAAAACGGTAAATAGATTACCTGTGCATAGGCACTTTGTGTGACTTTTTTAAGATCGTCTTGCGCGCCAGTTGTTATCCTACCAAAAAAGATTTCTTCTGAAACACGACCGCCCAGGGTCATGCACATTCTATCGAAAAGTTGTTCTTTGGTGTACAAGTATTGATCCTTCGGCAAATACTGGGCATAACCTGTAAATAATTGGACGGTTTGACTAAACAACCGATATCTGGTAACGGCATAACACTTTAAAATGAAGCAATGAAATCGCAATAGATGCTATAATGGATGTCTGCAGTTATTGATTTTGAGCGTATCGGTGTCGCGCCTAAATCGAATAAAGCGCAGTTTTTTAATAATCTCCTGGAGAATGTCGAGATGTGTTGTTGCAATAACATACGAGTATTGACTTCTAAACGTTCCGCTATATCTGGTTTTTCGTGATAGACCAGTGATTTGACATACCTCGTATATGTTGCTATGGATTATTTTCTGCAGGACAGGGCTGACCATAGAGTTTTGTACGCCATACACAAAAAAAGACTTGTAGACAAAATATTTCTTTCTTTCATAAAAAACCAAAAGTTATAAATATTCATTTATGTACACTTTACGTTTTATTAAACATCAGTAAAACGCCTGTTTTAAGCCATCGTAAATTCTTTCATACATTATCTACATTTATTGAGTCCAATATGTCTTGCTCAAATATGACATAAATCTCTTCATTCATTCCAAGAAGTTTAATCTTGAGTTAGAGAAACTTTCTGTATTAAGCAATTCGAAAACAACCTGCTAATACAGAATTCAACACACGCTAAAACGTACCCAGCTTCTCTGTGTATCAACAGGGTCAACCCATTAAGATAATTTTACATCATTTTTGGATCCAGAGAAACCTATTAACAGTCTGTTATATGAAAAGATAGTAACAACTTTAAAGCAAATACTACATTAAACATACTCCTACAAAAAACAGTAATGTCTATAGGTATGAGTATTTAATACATTAATTTCATTAAGTATCATTTCGCTGTTACTTTTAGAACCAGGGAACCGTCGACGTAAGAGGTCCAGTAAATTCAATTCCTGTCATGATTATTTTCAACTTCTTTAGCGATTAATTATTATTTGCTTAAGATGAGAAGTATATTGATTAAGAACTTTGCATCCCCCATGACTAGGGGCAATGAGGCGGCTGTCTCACTTGCTTAGTCTGTAACGGGCCCTGCTGCGGAGATATCTAAAATTGTTGGTTTACATTGATAAACCAGCGGAAGATGAAGCTTTAGAAGTCAACATATGTTAATTTATCACAATGCCCTGAAATGCTTGGCAGTAACCGAAAGCTAATTCTCCAGATTGGGACTTTCTCAGATGCTTCATATCCCTATGCATAAAATCAGCAATGGTAGAGTCGTAGCACTCCAGTAAAATATGTTTGGAAGTTATATTCAATTCAAAATATTCTACAAATGCCCATTTTAGCTGTTTTTATGGACGACCATTCTCCTTTCGGCAACCTTTTAGCACTATGATGAACTTTTTTTTTAAATGGTACCAAGCTCTCGGCCCATTAGCTAGATATAGTCAAAATCACGAAAGATGACTATTACGTCATACCATAAATTGTACTGAAGTAATCATTGGACGTACGTCGATGATAAAATCACGATGTCAGAAACATAATGACAACAAATTTATATTATGATTTTGCGAAGTTATTTCACTGATTATTTTCATTTTATTTCATGGTTTTGAGTGATACCTTAATAATAAGTTTAGTGGTGGGTTTTTGTTTTGAGAAAAAGAAAACAGTTATGAGTACTTTGAATACCTTAAGTCAGGAACACCAAAGACCAAAGTATTATTCGAAAACAACCTAACCTGCTTTAACATAAGCTAACTATTCATCTTTCAAGTATAATCAATCATGCAACATGAAAACATCATCTATCTTTGTCGGATACATGCAAATTTGCAATACAGTCTGATTAGACAATAAAATTCTGTCTATCTCTGTCTAACATATCTGAAACTTTATTAAAACTATTCACAAATCGCGGTCGTTTGTCTTTCCTTCAGACTAAAATGATGTCGCAATCGTCATATTTCGTGATTTCGACTATACAAATTATATACACATGCTTCTTCAAAAGAATATCATCGTCTGCAAGCACCACTAGTTTACACTGGAAACATGCCAAATAAACAACCATTGGCATAAATTAGTGAGGTAAAAGGAAGAATTAGGAAAAGTAAAGAAACAGGAGACACTCTCTCATCGCCTAGGGACCCCCCAATGTATTTAATGACAAAGCAGACTGGGCTAGGGATAGTAAAATACTTGAACAGAGGAATAAAACAGTATAGCTTCGTTCTATTTACTTTCTAAATCCATATACCAGCATTTTTAAAGAATATTATTAGTTTAACCTATTGCATCCAAAGCCATATTGCAGAATTCTCATAGACATAACTGAATATAATATACATAATTACTAATAACTTGCCTCATTTCATTTATCGTCTAGGAGTAAGCTACCCTTCCATAATACACGTTATATAACATATTGTTAGGATGCATATTATCCAATTGAGTCCACGAAAAGCCCACATTTAATAAAAAATATTTTTATTGGTCTAACAGAATTGACAGCCTAAGAGGTTACTTACCTAATCCCTTCCCTCTGGGGATGATCGACACCTTCAACAAAGGATCAGCGTACCTCAAGAACCATCCAGCTACCGCATGTCCCGCCTCGTGATACGCCACTGTCTTTTTCTCTTCAGGAGACAGCACGTTGGTCTTCTTCTCCATACCAGCAACGACACGTTCTATCGCCTGCTCGAAATGCTTCATGTTGATGGCGTCGTTCAGGTCCCTCGCAGCTATCAACGCTGCTTCGTTGCAGACGTTAGCGATGTCTGCACCCGTGAAACCAGGCGTTAGAGCAGCCATTTTGCGCGCCAGGTCGATTTTGTCCAAGTTGGTCTTCAAAGGTTTCAGGTGGACTTTGAATATGCTCGCTCTTCCTTTGATGTCTGGAGCTGGTACGAAGATCTGACGATCGAATCTGTGAAGAAATCAAAGTCACTGGAGCATTATTTTGCATGCCCGGTTACACCGCTTCTCTCAAATCTAAGGCTTACGGCCGTACCGTCAATCATTCCTACAATTGTAGGACGCCTTTTTTGTCTCCCTGGGTTTCATAGCTTTCTGCTGTTCCGGGTCAGCGCTCTATTTTGAGGTTACATACAAATATCTATTGGCATCAAATTATTCATGTTTATGATTTATATGATCTGTTATAAAAACCTGAAATTTCCTACAATTTGAACAGATAACAAAACTTCACAATAGGGGAGAGCGCTGACGCTGACAGGGAACAGTAGAAATCTAGAAATGCCCCAGCCTTTCTGGAGGAGAGAAAAGACTAAGAAAATCAAGGTCACAATTGTAGGAATGACTGACGATTCGGTTTCTGTTGCATCACTTTGATTTGTAAAATCTTTTCTTTCTAATAAGTTCCACCGGTTTTACTTTGCAAATACAGTGAAGTTGCCAACAGTTAAGCACGGTGGAGGCAACACCATGATTTGGGGCTGCTTTTTTGGTTCTGGACCGGGTCCAGTTGTTAAAATTGTTGGGAAAATGGATGAAAAACTTTGCAAAGACATTCTTAGTGAACACATGCTCAATTTTGCTGAAAAAGAAATGCCTTTACGATGGACATTCCAGCAAGATAACGGCCCCAAGCATACGTCAAAATTCGTAAAGGACTGGTTGAGACCAAAAAATGTTAATATTCTTACATGGCCTTCGCAATCCCGGACCTAAACCCTATAGAACATCTCTGGGAGCATGTTAAAAGACAACTGGCAAGAAAAACTTTTAAAAATAGGAACGATTTAATTGATTATTAAAAAAATATATTTGGCAAAATATCCCAACAGACGTCTATAATAAATTGGTGTCTTCTATGAGCAGCAGATGTCAGGCAGTGTTGAATGCTAGTCTGTAGTACCACAGCAAACACAAATTGTCATTTGCATCCTCAAGACCGTAAGCAAACTATATGAGAAAAAAATAGTCCTTAATAGTAAAGAATAAAAAATTAGCGCACTTTTTATAAAAACTAAGAATGTTTCCAAAATTTTGTCCGCTACTGTATGTATTTTGGCATAAAATATGAGCGTGTAGTAAGTACCTGCCGGGTCTGAGTAGTGCTTTGTCTAATATATCAACCCTATTGGTTGCCGCTAACACCACAACGTTCGTTGTAGTATTGAAGCCGTCCATCTCAACCAAAAGTTGATTCAAGGTGTTCTCTTGCTCAGAGTGGCCACCAAAACTCCTACCTAAAACCAATATTTGATATAAAATATTTAATGTAACACAAATGCTATGTAAAATGAAGAACATGCAAGAAGTGAATGTTTAACAATCGTATGATTTTAAATATTTTACAAACATTCTAAGATATTAACAGGTAATGTCATGAATTTACGCCGCGTCAAATCAAACATCAGTGTGCGAACTTTAAATCCTCGCGTGCCTCTTGGCTTGAACTTGCAGCAACATGCAAATATGGGTACAAGAATTCAACAACAGATCACTCATGTTTGTTTTAACACAGCTTGAAGTTTAGACAAAGGTCCATCAAGAAACGGTGAAAAAAATGTGTACATACCTCCTCGTTTTCTACCCACGGCGTCAATTTCATCAATGAACAGAATGCAGGGAGCATGCTTTCTAGCCATGGCAAAAAGGTCTCTTACCCTAGATGGACCCACACCGACAAACATCTCTAGAAACTCGGAACCAGACACTGTTATGAAGGGAACGTTTGCTTCTCCAGCTGTTGCTTTGGCCAGCAAGGTTTTACCAGTACCAGGAGGGCCTGTCAATAACAATTTATACAAAATTCCTGAGGTGACATTTCAGATTTGATTCTACTTAATGCTTTAACTTTTAGATATCTGTGTTTGTTATCGATTCATGTAGACGGTGCTAGACCAAACATTTTTAAGTGAGTATAAAAACTGAATTCGAGACTCCTCCGAATTTTTTGATGCTCATAATGGAATTCGGGTACACAGAGTTTCACTCGATTGTAATTACATGGAATAAAAATGGAAGTCTTAGACGTACAAGGTTTGTAAATTAAGTGATGAAAGTGACAACGTAGCGTTCAATTTGGCAACACTGAAGGCGCCGGGCTTGGAGGGGAGACAGGGGAACATGTGATCCGCCTTCATACAAGTTTGAACTCGCTCGAGTTATTTGGTTGTCCGTAGCGATTTTTTTTTTTTGAGAAATAGTGTTTCCTATTGTGCTCAAAAACGAACAGGTGGCATAAGTTTCAGGCAACGGTGTGCTATCAGGTTTTACTTCAGGCTTGGGCTCAGTGCAACGGAAACTCTTGCTAAATAAGCATACAGAGACAGTGTTTTGTCAAGAGCCCAGGTTTTTCAGTGTCAAAGTCGAGTGAAGATGAACCAGGAAGTGGAAGGCCTCCATGTTTAAGAACCGATTAAAATAAAGGCAGAATCCGGGATCAGATCAAGATAATGCTCCTTGTCATATAACAATGTCAATAAACGAGTTTTTGGCCGACAAAAACATTCATGTGGCTCCTCAGCCTCCCTATCCTCCTGACTTGAGTCCTTGTGACTTTTTTTTTCTTTCCCAAGTTGAGAAATCACCTCAAGCAAACTCATTTCAGGAACAGTTGAAAACAATCAAACGACTGTAACCGACCAGCTGAAGGCTATTCCAGTATCAGGGTTCCAGCACTGCTATGAGGAATGGAAGAATCATCTCCAGTGCTGCGTGGCTTCAGGTGAAAGCTATCTTGAAGATAACAATTAAAATTGTAATTGTTTGGACAAAAAAAAATAAAAAAACAGCCTTATCACTGAATTCACAGACCGGTCATGCCGACCTTCTTTGGGACTAGATTAGTTTTGTCCCAGTCAGTGAAATATCTGGGAATTATCCTGGATTGCAAACTGAACTGGAGAGAGCATGTGGAATACAAGGTTAGCAAGGCTCGCAATTCGATGTGGGCTTGTAGACGTGTTGTCGGTGTAAGGTGTGGGCTTAAACCCAAAGTGGTATACTGGCTCTACACGACGATAGTACGTCCATCTCTCTTGTACGGCTCCCTGGTCTGGTGGCCTTGCATTGGAACTGAGACAACTAAGGCCAAACTCAATAAAATTCAGCGTTTGGCCTGTATTAGTATTACAAGCGCAGTGCGAACAACGCCATTGAGTGCAATGGAAGCTCTGTTGGATCTCCCACCGTTGGATCTGGTGATCCGCGGTGAAGCGAGAGTAGTCGCTCATCGACTGTGGAGTCAGGGCAGCTGGGCTTTCTTCAATCCTGTCAAGGGGCATACTGCCATCTTAGTCGAATTACAAAGGGAGGACCCCGTCCTTCTAAGCAGGGGTGGAGTATCCAACGAGGGAGGAGTGGGATGCCGGTAGCCGGGGACTCTCCGGAGTGAGCGTACAGATCTGGTACATGGACGGCTCGGTCACCGAAGAGGGCTCAGTTGCTGGGGTCCCTGGGCCTAGAACTAGGCTATCTCTGCCTTTCGGTGGATACACCACCATTTTCCAGGCGGAAATCTTTGCGATTCTGGCTTGTGTATCTCACATTCTGGAGGAGGGTGGGCCTAGGAGAAGAATAACAATCTTATCCGACAGCCAGGCTGCAATGAAAGCACTAAGTGCCTGTAAGATTACTTCGAGTCTTGTATTGCAATACAGGGAGGCTCTGGATTGCCTCGCAGCGAGGCATCCGGTATCGTTAATATGGGTACCGGGGCACGCTGGGATAAGGGGCAATGAGACGGCGGACACTCTGGAGAAAACAGGATCAGCCAGCAAGCTCGTTGGTCCTGAGCCAGCTCTAGGAGTGACCGCGCATAAAGCTAGAAGGAAAATGGAGACGTGGGTTGCAAGAAAACACTCTCAGAAATGGAGAAGTATCTCCAGACATCTCCGCCAGGCACGAGAACTGATTGAAGGGCACAGTGCTAAGGATGGACGCTTCTGCCTGCCTCTGGATACAGCCAACCTAAGGTTGCTGGTGGGACTGCTGTCTGGCCATAACACGTTAAGGCGTCACCTGCACGTGATGGGGGTGGGTGAGGATCCCTTGTGTGAACGCTGCGGAGTAGAGGAAGAGACCTCGGCGCACGTTTTGTGTCGCTGTGAAGCTCTGAGCTACTACTTTGGACCCTCAGGACGTCAAGGAGCTTGGACTCGATTCTCAACCTCGCTAAAAGGGCGAGGCTTGTGATCTAGGGATTGTAGAGGTGCATAAGGGCCCGCTTAAGCGGCCTATGCACTGGCTCCTTATGGTGGCCGGAATGCCTCTAATTTCAAGATTCATTCATTCATTCATTCATAATTCACAGCCCTCATATTTGCGAAAACTTCTCCACAACATATAATCTCCAGGATAAACCAGGTGCGGATCCCACGTTCTGTTTGTCGCTACGACCAATAAATAGACCCACACTAAACATTATACTTCATCGTATTTGGCCCCACGACACCTCAAGGTTTTTTGACCAACATATTCATATTCAGCGCTGCACGTTACTTAACCCTACTAAGTTTCATTCTCTTGAAACATCAGGAGATGCAAATTTTGCTCTGGTGATTACACAATTTCGAAATATACTAAGAGAAAATTTTGAAAAACTCTTGCCTATAAATGATCGAGTAAATTCAAATTCATAAAATTATCTGGCTTTTAGCTATTATCGTATACACAGTAACGTAATTCGTACAGTATTTGAAATTATCGGGGACAAAAAACGATAATGAATGATCGTCGTCTGGCAACTAGTCCATTTCTAGATCCAGTGTCAACAGTCAACAACAGTCAACACCAAATGACCACAGTGCCACCTCTAAGACATTCATTACACTGCACTGTTAGTTGACGCAAAATAATTACTAGTTGCACATGGCACTTGGGAATCCTCAAACTATAGTCACGACCTGCTTAAATGAGATCCACTATTGTGGACCCTCATTTAATATCCTGACCCTCAATTCATTTTGTAACTGACGTAGCTCCTTTGTAGGTCGCCGACGATCTTTGAGGCCAGTACAGATCACTTTGAAAAACAATGCTCTAGACATCTAGACTAACAAAATGATAAGCTAAGTCGGAATTACAAAAATCATGAGGCTCAAAAAATTGCAACTCACCTGTCAACATTGCCCCCTTGGGTATTTTCGCACCTAGCTCAATGTACTGCTGTGGGTTTTTCAGGAAGTTCACAAACTCCATGATCTCTATCTTGGCCTCTTCACATCCTGCAACATCCCTAATATTCCGTTTATATGACGAGAGAATACAGACTTGCAAAATAATTTACTTTTGGAGGAACTACCAAGTGTTTATTACCAGTAAGTGCATATCTTACACAAAATTTATTACATTGCAAAAAGCAAATGAGTGAGTTAGTGAGTTTCAAACGTGGGTAGATAGTTGTACAAAGTTTTGCATGCCCTCTGATCAAGTATCACAGTAGTCATTTCTTTGAAATACAAAATAGTGTTAATGCTTACTTAAATTTAACGCCTATTTCATTAGAGTTGATCAACTTTGCGGTACTCTCCATAACACCTCCAAATAAACCACCTCCTTTCCTTCCTCTTTTCCCTCCCATCATTTCAGCAGACCTCCTCATCATATAAATCAGGAATGCAATAACTAACAAAGTAGGAAGCATTCCGGAAAGGCTGGCAGCCTCTATTTCAGTTTTATAGATGACAGGGACAAAATTGGGTGGCTCAACACTCATTTCTTGTTGGGCATTTTCTAAATTTCTTTCAAACGAGTCTACGCTGCCAATGTTGAACCATATCTCATTCTGGAAGACAAGCAGTTATAAATCAAATGTTTTGTGCATTATGATATTTTGGTTTTTACCAATTATGTTACACAACTGAAGTTTTTGAAACATATAAAACTTGACATAATTATGCATTCTAGTAACCAAACTTACAGATCCATCTGCAGAATTTCCAGGTAGGAGTTTAACTCGTACCCACTTTTTATTTACAACTTCCAGTTTCTCTACAACTCCCTTCTGTAAATAGCTGAAAAAAAATACAGGTTTTGAGAATAACCTCTCTGTTTTTAAAAAGTGATAAAAATCGAACTTTTCGTGGGTGCTATGGTGGAGAGAAAATGATTGGTTAAGTCAGCAATTTGAGATATTTCTCTTTTGTCACTAAACTAAATCATATAGTATAATATTCCGCGCAGTGCCCGAAAAGTTAAATCTAAGTGATTATTTATACAGGTTTTCAGAATAACTTCTGTTTACATAAAGTTACATACAGTGCTTTTCAGAACGGTCTCCAACTACTTATTTTTTGAATGGGTCAAGTTAGATGGCTGGAATTTGAGTTTATGAAATTGATGTATGAATACTATATTTTAACATGAAAATAGCAGAACCCTATATAGGATTTAAACTCCATGTTTGTAATGGCCATTCATGGCAGCAGTTCTAATAAAATTTAACAAAATTTCAGCAGCAGGTAGGCTATAGATGGCGAGCGTATACCTTTCAAATGTAAAGCTTTCATTTAAAGCTAGATGAGCATTTTAAAAAAATAATTATAATAATCATTATATTATCTAAATATTACAGTAAAAAAAGACAAAAATGTAGCACTAAATCATATCTTCTTGCCTTGAAGTTTATGTGAAAAGCATATGCCTAGTAGTTGCAAGACGAAGTATTTAAAAAATAAAATACCTCAAAACACCAAAAATACACTGACGTCTAGGTCACTTGTCTGCATTTTATTTGAGGTGCGCGAGTTTCTTGGAAGAGTAAATCAATTTTTAGAATACATAAGACAAATCACTTCAGTAAGTAACTGGCCTAGTACTCTGACAAGTGCCCATTATATGTTATTGAAGTCTGAAAGTAGTACTCAGTGATAAAAAAACGACGGATTTTGAATCCCGAGATATCCCGGGATTATAATTTCGGTCCCTGGATTGAAATATTGTTTGCTTCCTGAAAAATACGGTCCAATCCTTGATAAATAATTTTTTCACACTGCTCAATCTCACCTGGCGTCCACTTGGTAGCGCAACCAATTTGGTGGAACGACCAGCACTATGCAAGCTCGGACATGTGGCGGCCGTACTCTGGTGTCTCGAGTAGTGATGTGTAGTTCGCGAACGCACTAGTTCAAACGAACGATTCTGATGACTGAACTAAGTGGACTAGGTCATCATTCCTTGAAAAACTTTTTCACCATAGATGACTGGTATTACAGGATCCCGATGATCCGACTGACCTGGTTATGAACCTTAGTGGTGATGCTGGATGTACCCCAAAATGATTAAAAGTCTGATCACGTTATTCAACTGGATTCCTTATGATGAACAAAGAACCTTTATCTGCAATAAGTGAACTATGATTTTACAGCGATATCAATGGTATTTCGTAGCGGAAAATGTCTAAATCATAGGAAATCAACACGTGCGTTCGCAACACAATAATAATCATGAAACAGATCAAAAATGTAGAAATATAAAAATAAAAAGAAAACAAGAATACACAGAAACTTCACTATACAGGAAAACAAACTATCACTGAAGTGTCATAATATTGGGCAAAAAGAGAAATCAGAACAAAGCTGACAAAAAGAGGACTTTGCTACTGAAGGTAGGAAGTCTAGCAACCCTCTTCAGATGCATGTATTTAGTCACATTATTTGAAATTATTGTTTATAGCTACATCTATGTGAGCGGCAGTTTACAATGAATATTAAAATTTTAAACATTCATCTTAAAAAAATGTGTGCCATGGTATCTAGGCTTCGGCCTGCATGGCTGTTTTGCTATTTAAAAAAAACGGAGTCTCTAACCGGTTATCGATCCAAATTCCAGTGAACGAGACCTATTGAACTAGTAACACCAAAATGAACTAGAAGGGAGATCACTAGCCTCGAAGCTCCAGGATTCGAATATCTTATGAGATTGGATCCCCTAGTACTCAGTGCATTCCTACTTATGATCCAGTAGATAATGAAACACTTACTTTTGTACAAATTCCTTCCAACTAATTTCTTTATATCCCATTTCCCACATGGTAATAGTGGCAAGAAAGGCAACTGCTGCTGCTGCACCTAGAACATACCATTTGTCCCTTTCGTTGTCACCAAAGGGTTTGCCGCCACTCCCACTATAATAAAAGTTCATATCTCAAAGACTAGATTCAAACCGAGGTTGGAACTATACAGACTGTAACAATAGTTTGGAATGCATCAAATGTCTGATGAACGACACAGTTAGTTTTTTTTAAAATTGATAGGTTTAGGTTCGGTATTTAACTAAAATCAAGAGGATAGAAATTCGAATATTGATGAAAATAGTGTATTTGATATTCCCAGAAAACAAGAGAAAAATTAAAAACAAAGAAAATGATTCTCTCAGTTTTAATTAAATGAATCACTCTCAATATCTTTACTAACAAAACTCAATGGATGAATGTCAGAAATGACAGGAAATTACTTTTGATACCAGTCATTGCCTAGGTGAAAAAAACACCTTTTCTTGTATAAATATTAATGTTTACCTGTGAATATTTAGAAAGCTATGAGGTTTACATCAAAGTATGTTTAAGAAAAACTATTCAAAATTTTTAGCAGAAAGCAAATATCAAATATAATGTAAAGCATTCCATAAGGAAAACAAAAGTTGCTATCAGTTTCTGAAAAGCTTTAGAATAGGCAACATCGCGGATATCATCAATGGACCCACCATGGTTTCGAACCTAAACCTACCAATTTTTAAAAAAATTAGATCAGATATTCGATGCATTCAAAGTTTTGTTAGAGTCTGAGAAAACTCATGTAGAAATCAGTTTACCGAGATTTTTGCTGCATCTTTTTCAGGTAAAGTAAAGAAAGTCTCATCATATATTAAAGATATAGAACAATTTTTGTGGTTGTTTATTAATCACACTTGCAGCAAATAAATGACATCAAGCTAGTAAAAATATCACAGCCTTCTATGATTAATTAGCCTTGGAACTATTGTTGAGCTATTAAGGAGCACAGGTGTTGCAAACACCTAACTTGCTACTTTTATAAATGTCATGACTTATACACTGTATTTTACTAATTTAAACAAAAAATGCTCCAAGCTATAAGAATTCTTTGTATAAAAGCACTGAGTAGTTACCCTCTGCCTGTGCCTCCAAAAAGTCCAAAAGACCACTGATCATAAGGCTTTGAGCT